CATATGGCAAAGTCGCTGTACTGGATGGGCAGAGGGTTCACAGCCGAAAGGGGATCGCGACCTTGAAGAGCTGCGGCGTAGAGTTGGCTGAGGTCGTGGCGGAGAACGTCAATTGACCACCCGTCGGAGATGATGTGGTGCATGACGATAGAGAGGACGTAGTCGGTACCGGTCAGCCGGATGAGGAGTGCTCTCCAGCCTGCTTCGGATGTGAGATTGAAGGGAGTGGTCTGCTCTTGTTCTAGCAGGTGAAGGTAGTCACCCTCTGTCGCATCGACGACTCTCAGTTCTTTGGAGAGGGTCTGATGAATAACCTGTACACCCGCGCCATCGTGGTCCTCAAAGGTAGTTCGCAAGGTCTCGTGGCGCTGCTCCAAGGCCATCAGAGCACGACTCAGTGCATCTATATCTACCAATCCTCGCATGCGGACAGCGTACGGGATCAAGTACCATAAGGCACCGACCTCCAGCTGATCCAAAAACCAAAGTCGACCTTGAGAGTAGGACTGTTCAACAGGTCCATCGCGAGTGGTCGCTGGGATGAGCGCGTACGGAACAGCGCTACCGTTGACGATTGCCTCAAGGCCAGCGAGCGTAGGGTTCTGGTATATGTCAGAGACCTTGAGCTCAATACCAGTTGACCGAGCCATGTTGACCATCTTGATGGCAGTGATGGAGTGGCCGCCAAGCTCAAAGAAGGTTGACCCAATGTTAGAAGCGCTGGGTTCGAGACCCAGGCTTTGACACCAAACCTCCTCCAGCTTGGATTGGCTGCTGTTTGCTGGACAGCTCAATTGAGATGGTCGTGGGCTTGTTCCTTGGAGCTGCTGGGCCAGCAAGTCGCGACCAATAGAGCGAAGCTTCCTGCGGTCGACCTTGCCAGTCGCAGTGCGAAGAAGACGCTGCATACTAATGTAGCACGATGGGATGGAATGACGCGGAAGGACTTGCTCCAGCTTTGCACTTATGTCCTTGGTCGCAGCAAGATCAAGAATCGTGCCATCTCCTGCACCCTCGGTTTCCTGAGAGGCGATCAAAAATGCAACGAGAACAGTGCTCGTAGGCGAGTCCGATGTCTTGACAGCTTCTACAACAATTGACATGTCGTCAGGCAATTGGTGTCTGAGATAAGTCTCCACTGCCCCAAGCTCAACGCGTTGTCCTCTGATCTTGACCTGCGAGTCCATGCGACCGAGACAAACAACAGTGCCATCAGATGCATAACGCGCAAGATCACCAGTTCGATAGAACTTCAATCCATCAGGTAAATGTTTAGAAGGATACCATGCTGGAACTGTTGAAAAGAAAGGTGACTTCTCTGTTGGTGGAGGAATGATGTAGTCGCGCGCAATGCCTGGACTCTCAATCACAAGTTCACCAATTGCGCCAATAGGGACTAGACGATTGGGATCACTGGGATCAATGATCCAAGAATACGCGCCGACTGAGCGACCGATGTTGTTTGGATCAACGCCAGAAGAACTAATGTTTCCAACGAAGCAGATCGAAGAACTCTCGCTCTGACCGTAGCCATCTAAGAGTTGAACGCGAGGCGCCCAAATGGCATTGACAGACGGCGACATCTGCTCACCAACAAGCACCAGAGTCTGCAGCCCAGGGACTTCATCTGGCTGAAACGTCCCCATATACGACGGAGTAGCCATCATCCAATTGACGTTGACCCGATTAATGAAAGCAGGAACATTATTCATGCGGTCGTCATCAGAGGGAATGCACACGCAACCGCCGTGAATCAACGTCGTCATAATTTCAAGTAAACACGCGCCAAATGCATGGGATCCGAATTGAAGAGCGCGTGTATCGCTGTTGATACCGAGTGCGGAGCCGAACTTGAGAGCGCAGGATGAAAAGGCGCGATGCTCGATCATGATGCCCTTTGGATCGCCTGTGCTACCGGATGTGAAGATCACGTAGGCCAGGTCCTCAGGAGCAACCGCAGCAAGTACAAGATCTGCATTGAAGGTACAAGTGCAAATGAGTGATTGAATAAGCTCATCGTCAACAACGATGCAGCGCCCAACAATGCCTTTCACTTTGCCACTGTAAAGCTTGGAAGTAAGCGCAACCGTCGCGCCCGTCTGCCCAACTACTTGCGAGACTCTAGCAGATGGATCATTCGGATCAATAAGCGTAAAGGCGTGGCCGGCTTTCATGACTGCTAGCATTGAAGCGACGACCCATTTTGACTTCTGGAAGTAAATGGGAAGTATCGCATGCTCTTGGTCTGGGGTGCTGAACTTGATGAGCGCTGCTAGCCGGGAGGTGATGTTGTCGAGCTCGGAGTAGGTCCAGTCACCGTCCCAGGCGCATATTGCGGCCTTGGAAGGAGAGGTAGAGGATGTTTTGAGCATCTCTTTGTGGATGAGGGTTGGTTGGATGGGGATTGGGTGTGAGTTCCAGTTTTGGATCTCAGCTTGATCTTCTTGTGTGATCGTGTTGAGTTCTCCTACAGACAGCTGCTTATCTGGTGAGTCTCGTAGGACCTGAATCAAGTGACTTAGTTGTCTCAAGAGACGAGCCATTTGCCGAGAGTCGATGAGGCCCTTGTCATATCTGGCAATGATGGAAACTCCAGTACTGGCCATCTGACAGTGGAGTAACAGAGCCCGATTAGTGCAGGGCATAAAGAGCTCAGGCTCGCCGGTCTTGTGGTGAATCTCACAAGTAGACGACCGCTCATTGTCGCCCTCAGTGACTAACAGGACGGTCTGGAACCCGCATGCAGCAGAGCCATAATCCCCAGAGGAAGCGACGTTGCGAAGACCGATATCTGCAAACTGGCGGATGGCATCATCGTTCGCATTCACTGTGGTGATGATATCTGACAGAGACTGATCAGAAGCGCAGTGTACGCGGAAAGGGACGACAGTCCGTGTTGGGCCATTAGCCAGGAGTTGCCGTTGCTCTGTCACTACGCCAAACAGGGCCTCTTGCGAGTTTGTGTAGCGTGACAAGACAATCGCAAGTGCAGTTCGGCAGACAACTGTGCCGGGCCAAGTTGACCGTGGCAGAGTTGTGAAAGTCATGCGTTGCTCTGACTTTGCATCGGGATAGGGAACATAAAGGGGAGATGTCAAATGCGGAAACGCCGAAGCATTCAGATCACCCAAATAATCCTTCCAGAACTGAGTCGCAGGATGAATGTCCCCAGTCTCTGGAGTCTTCGACCCATCAGTGGGAGTCAACGACAGTTCATCGTCCTCAGGGTCAGAGGAATCAGGCGTATAGGGTCTGTTGGACAGTCCGTCCTGCCCATGCTTGTAAGCCTTCAGAACTCGTCTGAGGATCTGTTCTTGAAACGTGCTATCCACAAGAGCGTAACTAAAGGTCCAGATTAGGAGCCTTTTCATTGCAATTGTGTCATCCAGAAGAACAAATCTGTTGCAGCGAGGTCCGGAAGCCGCAGCTACTGCTTCATCCTGTACAACAGCATCTTTCTGATCAACAGATGTGCAAAACATCCATGAGAAAACGAAGCTATCTTTCAAGACAACCTGATACGAATCTCCAATTTTAGAGGTGAAGGCACAAGTCCTCAGAGCAGGAGTTCTGTTGATGGTATCTTTCCAAGCAGCAGCCAACTTTGAGATGTCAATATCATTGCTGATCTCGTAAGCAGCATGGCCAATGAAGCGTTTCTTGTCACTACCAGCACAGTCAATGACATCTTGTTGAAACGCCGTGCTGGGAAGGATACTCTCGACTCTATCTCGGCCTAAACCGAAAGAACGAGTAACTTCCTCGACAAGAGTGTCGGTATGACTTGCATCGTCACTGGGAAGCAACAAAGGCATGATTGCTTGTGTAGAGCCACTTTTGGTGTTGAGTGATGTCATATTGAATGTAAGAGAAGTGTTTGAAGTTAAACGATTGTCCGAGTGTGTAACATGGGGGCCTGGATAGGCAATAAGAGTCTCTCACAAAAGTCACAGCTCGTTCAAGATGATAGGACAGAATACTTCAGTATCCCTCGATGAACCAATCCTCCTCGCTATCAACTTTTCTGTATATACCTCACCTGCAGGAATGCAGCGCATCATGCAGCAATTCTCGTGTTGGCAACATATCTCAACCAACATTACGTGCTCCTTACCAAAGAGGCACATCGCCCCCAGTACGACCATCCCATGTCTAAGACTCTCGATGGTTCCATCATGAGGTCTCATCAAAAGATCCTACGAGGCATATTCTGCCACCCTCAGCCGCGACCGCTGTCCTTTCTCGATGGCATCACAGTCTGCAAACTGATCTGCTGATCCTTCATAGGATTCAGATCCTGATCCTGCAATTGGCCGATTCCACCAATTGGCTACTGCGGGTTATTCTGCAGGGAGATTGATAATCGGTGTTTGTGGCGCTGACCTGCATAAGTGGGACTCACCCCCGGTGAATCCTAAATCCTAAATCCTACGGGAGGGGCTAGGAGAGACAGGCCAATCAGTCTGAGATTGTAATCTGCATGCTGAATCGTCCCGTGTCTCGGTAGCACGCGGGCTACGAATCTATGCGAGCCGGACAGTTGCCGGTAGTGTACGATTGCAGGATTTAGTAGCGTTGAGATCGTGATGCCTTGTTGGGAGGAAGGCTAGCCAAAGCTTAAGATACTATCCACAGTCTCTGAATATGACGAACAAATTCCGAGCACATTTACAGAATAGTAATAGTGGTAGAAAATAATCCCAAGCATCTTGGCGAGTAAAACGCGTGATGCAAGCATCAGCTATCAGGTCCATCAACCCAAAATAACGGTCTCAGAAACACAGTTCATATAGCATACCAGCTACTCACAATATGCCCAGCACAGGTATCTTGGGATCATCCTTGACGTCCTGCATAACAGATTCCCTCTTATCTCTTCTTTTCGCTGCCCCTGCCACACTGCCAGACTGTGCACACACTACCTACTTACACATTGGCCCCTTCATTGGCTTGCTCTTCCTCCCAATCTCTCTGGAAAGGCATGATCATTAGCAAGCACGATGACACCCCAAGAACACCCAACCTGGCTGACGGCCCTCCTCACCGACACAAGACCGTCCCCAAAGCTATTCGCCTGGTCTCCTGCAAACATCCAGCCAAAGGTCGATGAGGCTATTGACATGGGAAGTTCCAACAGCGATGAAGAATACGACAACGATGACTGTGTCATTCCATCAGCAAACTCTGACCAGCGTATATATATCATTGGTCCTGGCAATATTGGCCGACTATATGCCACTCACATGGCTCGCCATCCCAATGCCCTTCCCATCACGCTCGTCGTTCATCGAAAGGAACTGCTATCACAGTGGGCAGCATCTCAAGGTGTAGGTCTCGCAGATTCAACCAGCGGCAAACTCTTCCTCAACAAACGCTTCACCGTCGAATGGTGGACCGAAACAAGACCTCATTACGGCCCAGTCAAAGAAGTTGCAGATGGGAGGAAGCTTCACAACGTCTTCATCTCCACAAAGGCAGAAGCTGGACTATCCGAAGCAGACCGTATTCGCCAGTACCTTGGTCGATGCAGCTCAGTTATCTTTGCTCAGAACGGCGTCTGCAAACTCTGGCCTCCCCACGGTCCTTTATACATCTCTCATCGATACCCAACCGGTGATACCCCAACATTCTCCGCTTGTGTCGTGAGTCATGGGGTTGCATCAGCAGGTCCTTTCTTGAGCATCCATGCGGCTCTCGCTGACGCATACATCGGGCCTGTGTTCTGGACATCTGATCCCAAATCGCCGGGCAGGCATCCATTGGATGACTTCTTTATTCGGCATATTGCCTCGACACCGCTTGTGAACACAAAGGAGGTGTCTTCGGGTGAGATTTGGCTCCTTCAGTTGGAGAAGTTGGTCATGAATGCGGCGATCAACCCGCTTACGGCTTTACTGCGCTGCAAGACAGGAGAATTGTTTGCATCCTATATCCCTGATGATCCTTTGAGGCGGGTGATCGACAAGCTCCTCTGGCAAGCAAGTGCTGTTATCCAAGGACTTATTAACCACGAAACGAGTCGCAGTATTATCACGTCCTACGCTGAACAGACATCACGACTTGGGACGAGCTCCAGCGTCCACAAGGTCCGATGGAAGTTGATGGAAAGGTTTTCACAGCCAATCTTGGAAGCAAAGCTATACACATTTGGTCTCAAGATATTTGAACATCGCAGTTCTATGCTACAGGATATAGAAGCCGGAAGGAAGACAGAAATACGAGACTTTAACGGTTGGATTGTAGACATGGCTTGTTTCTTAGGCACAGATCTTGATGTTAGCGTGCACAGAGGCTTAATTGCGTTAGTTGAGCGCTGTGAGAGCTTGGATAAGGTGGAGTTGGGTAGGGCATTGCTGTAACACAAGGTAGATCAGGCCTAAACTACCTGACTGTAAAGATCTTGTTTTTATTACTTAAATTAATTTCAGCTTGCTGGATTAATTACAATATTTTATCTAGCATCTTATAAAGCTATTTGTCATTCCATCATATTCATCTTCTAGCTAAGCTCTCTATAATGGTTGTAGTTCTAAGCTTCAAACCTCAAGCTTAGGGCTCTCAACGACCAAGTGTCAAATGGCAATGTGTGCTTTTGGCCGATAGTGGTCCATATTCCGGCTTACCTAAAGCAGACAGCTGTACGGAAATCCTTGCCTCATATCAGCCCGAGGCAACCTCGTATTCTTAATCGAACATTATACGAGCGGCAATCGACATACCATTGCCAACTTAAATCTCGCATATCACATCATATTCATATGCTAGTCTGCGACATGTCTTAATTGTAGACAAAAGATGGGCAGTTAGATCCGCCACCAGGGATGGCCACGGAGTAAAACGGAATATTCCGATTGGACTGTCAGTGCAGACTCTCACCAAGACAGTGGACCACTGCCGACGGAAGCGCTCCGAGCCGCAACTCAATCGAGTAATTCTCCGCTGAGCAGCATTAGCTGGCCTCAACTGTCAACGCCACTTCATGCCTTTCAACCCCCCCTTAGCCCCCACGAAAAAGAACCAAGAGATTTCTAAATACATGATCTCATCTAATCAAACATTTGTGCTCCCCGCTGAGACAAGCGCCTGGCAAGTCTCTTTTCCGACATTCCTTCCTTTGTTCCATGTAGTCATCACACCACGGCCAGAAGGATCCCAATCCCTTTCCTGCGCCGTGCTGACGCATGAGAAATCCTTCCAGTATGTCTCAATTGCAGCGGGTCCTCGGACTCTGGATGCAATCCGACGGGAAAATGCTCGTGTCCGCGCACCCGATCGAGGAACGGTATTTGTTGTTTCCCCATTTGCTTTGGGGGTAGGATGCAGTATTGTTCAGTGAGAAGAGAGGCTTGACGCTTGCAAACCGCTCCTCTGTCAATCAATCACCATGGGAAAACGAACAGCGGAAAATTCAGCGGCGATTGGGGAGGGTGAGGAGACGAATCCTGAGATGCGTGTTGATGGACGCCCTGAGAGAGAGCCTACCTTTCAGGATTATATGGTATGACAACCACAACCTCACTATATCGAAGCAAATACTTGCAACTTATACTGATATCATCTCTTGTCATGTAGAGAGTCTTCAAGTATGCTTCCAAATGGGACCTTCTGGCATACACCGTTGGCGTAATCGCCTCGATCGGTGTCGGCATAACCTTGCCTCTGTTAAACATCGTTTTCGGCAAGTGGAAACCAAAAACGAGGCCAAATATCGAGGCTTCATACTAATGAGTCCGCCAAAATGTAGGTCAATTCGCTAGCAAGTTCTCTGACTATGCTGGCACCGAAACGCTCCCGGGCAATGAGTTCCGCTCGAAACTTAGCGAACTTTGGTGAGTTTGACCTGCGATACGAAAATTAAGTTTCGTTTGATGGCCGCTAATACCCGTCGCGATAGTCTGTACCTGCTTGGCCTCTTCCTCGGTCGCCTTGTGTTAGGTTACGTCAACAATGTAAGTTCCTTGTCTCAGTAAATCTTCTCATCGGCTCACCAATTCTCAGTTCGCATTTCGTATGACCGGTGTGAGAATCACCTCCGCCATTCGTCAGGATTACTTCACGGCGTTGTTCTCGCAAAGCGTGCATGTATTGGACTCTATGCCACCTGGATATGCGACTACAATTATCACGACTACCGGAAACACTCTGCAGCTCGGAATCTCTGAGAAGTTGGGTGTTTTTGTGGAATACAATGCCACCATGATCGCTTCAATCATCGTCGCGTTCATCTACAGCTGGCAGCTCTCTCTCGTGACATTCACCGCCGTTGTCTTCATCACATTCAGTGTCAGCCTAGTACTTCCTTACATCACCAAAGGCCAGACAAACCAGACCAAAGTATGTACCGATTCTGAGGGTCCTGTGAGATGTTACTGACGCAAGATTTAGTCCGAAGCTCTGGCGATGTCTGTCGCTAGCGAAGCCATGAGCGGTATCCGAATGATCGTAGCTTATAGCGCTCAGTCGCGAATTGGCAGCAAGTACGGCAGATTCGTTGACGAAGCAAAGAAGCATGCTCAGTTCGCTGGCCCATTCATTGCCCTCCAATACGGCCTTATTTTCTTCAGCAGTTATGCGGCATTTGGCCTTGCGTTCTGGTATGGCACAAGACTCTTGCTCGACGATAAAATCAATCAGCTCGGGGCTATCATTGTCGTCTTGTTCTCTGTCATGATGATCGTGACGGCAATGGAACGAATCTCTACGCCGCTTCTAGCGGTTAGCAAAGCAACAGTCGCAGCTTGCGAGTTCTTCACTGTCATCGATGCACCCCGACCTGAGCCTGGCCATCTCACCGACCCAAATGTGTCTGCGACGGCGGACATCGTCTTCGAAGACGTCACTTTTGCTTACCCCAGTCGACCGCACGTCAAGATCCTCGATGACCTCAATCTGCGAATCGAAACGGGCAAAGTCACCGCGATTGTCGGCCCCTCTGGCTCAGGTAAGAGTACAATCGTCGGCCTTGTTGAGCGATGGTACAGTCTCAAAGACCAGTACGTCATCTCCAAACCAGTCGAGAAGCCGACCGATAAAAAGAAGGACGATGACAAAGAGGAGGACGAGCAAGAGTTACAAGAACTCTCGTTCGCAGGAGATAAAACTGGTCCACCTGTTGAGCTCCGTGGCCGAATTTCTACGTGTGGCCACTCTCTTGATGACATCAACGTCAAGTGGTGGCGATCGCAGATTGGACTTGTCCAACAGGAGCCGTTCCTCTTCAATGACACCATCTACAGCAACGTTCTCAACGGCCTCATCGGCACAAAGTGGGAAAATGAGCCTGAAGAGAAGAAGAGGGAGATGGTACATGAAGCATGCAAGGAGGCATTTGCTGACGAGTTCATTGAGAAGCTACCAGAGGTACGTCAGATCGTCCATTGCCAGCCAGTTACCACCTTGATACCCAAGCAAAATACTAACCTATTGTCCTCAATATAGGGCTATAACACCGCCGTTGGCGAAGTCGGTATCAAACTCTCAGGCGGCCAACGCCAACGCATCGCCATCGCCCGCGCCATAATCCGCCGTCCCGCAATCCTCATTCTCGACGAGGCCACGAGCGCAATCGACGTCCGCGGCGAACGGATCGTACAAGCAGCCCTCGACCGAGCCTCCAAGAACAGAACAACGATTGTAATCGCACATCGTCTTTCCACTATCAGGAAGGCTGATAGGATTGTTGTTCTGCGACAGGGACAAGTTATTCAGTCTGGTACTCATGTGAGTCTATTGACTGATGAAGCTGGTCTTTACTATAATCTCGTCAATGCTCAGGCTTTGTCATTGGGGGAGCAAAAGGATGGCCATGATGTCACTGCTAAGGATCATCGACGATCCTCTATTCATGAAAAGGCACATACCGAGTCCACCATCGAGGACAAACCTCAAGACAAGACCCCCAAAAAGAAAGGTCTCATCTCCAGCTTCGGTCGCTTCTTCTACGAGACAAAGTCCAACTGGTGGACCATGACCCTAACCATCTTCTTCTCCGCCTGCGCCGGCGCCGCCGTCCCCTTCCAAGCCTGGCTCTTCGCCAAAGTCATCATCGTCTTCAGCTACCTCCCCGACGAGTCCAAGGTCAGAAGTGAAAGTTCCTTCTGGTCGCTCATGTGGACTGTCCTCGCTATCTCAGCCGGTCTAGCCTACTGTGCTACTTTCTTCTTATCAACGCGTACAGCGAGTACTATTCGTGCTAAGTACCAGAAGCAGTACTTCTTATCTATCTTGCATCAGAAGGTTGCGTTCTTTGATCATGATGATCACTCACAGGGGACTATGGCTGCGAGGAGCGCTGAGGATCCAAGACAGCTTGAGGAGCTGTTGGGGTCCAATATGGCGAGTGTGTTTATTGCCCTCTGGACTCTGATGGGTACTATCGCCATTTCGCTGGCTTTTGCATGGAAGCTTGCACTCGTGTCCCTTTGTGTAGTTGTCCCCATACTCCTCGCCGCTGGGTATTGGCGAATGCGCTACGAGATCAAGTTCGAGGAGATGAACAACGCTGTGTTCGTCGACAGTTCCAAGTTTGCTTCTGAAGCAATCGGTGCATTCCGTACCGTGGCATCTTTTACTCTTGAAGGTGCTATCTGCGATCAGTTCCGCACTCTCAACAGCAACCATGTCAAGGATGCCTTCAAGAAGGCTCGTTGGGTGAGCTTGCTGTATGCCTTCTCCGACAGCGCAACCATCGGATGCCAGGCTATAGTACTGTACTATGGTGGCCGCCTTCTCCTCAGCGGCGAGTATGATCTAGAGAGCTTCTTCGTGTGCTTCATGTCTGTCTTGAACGCAGGCGAGACAACAGGTCGTGCACTTAGCTTTGGACCCAATGTCGCTCAAGTCCGTGCAGCTGCCAATCGTATCCTTGGACTGAGGGTTAGTCAGGTCAAGGACGGTCCTGAAGCTACCGGCACACCGTTTGTTTCTCATGGTGATGGTATGAAGATTGAACTGGACAACATTCACTTCAAGTATCCTACTCGTGACGTGCCTGTATTCCAGGGTCTCAACCTGACCATCGAGAAGGGCCAGTTTGCTGCTCTTGTTGGTGCATCGGGCAGTGGAAAGAGTAGTATCGTCTCTCTTCTTGAAGGGTATGCAGACACCTCTATACATGTTTGTGATGAATGCTGACATGATGTTACTCACAGATTCTATGATCCTGATCACGGTCGCATCCTCTGCAATGGTCAAGACATTGCCGCCAACAACGTCTATACATACCGTCGCCACCTCTCGCTTGTTGCTCAAGAGTCAAGCTTGTTTCAAGGTATGCCAAATAGATCGCCCCATTATGAAATGCCATAGCTGATTATGCTGCAGGTACATTACGAGAGAACATCCTTCTTGGTGTTGAAGACACCGTCGACGACGCAACTGTCCATCGTGTATGTCAAGAAGCTTCCATCCACGAGTTCATCATGTCCCTCCCAGAAGGATACCAAACCCAGGTAGGCTCCCGCGGCGTGACCCTCTCAGGCGGTCAGAGACAGCGTGTAGCCATCGCCAGGGCTTTAATGCGAAACCCTGATATCTTGTTGCTTGATGAAGCGACAAGTTCTCTCGACTCGGAGAGTGAGAAGTTGGTCCAAGAGGCGTTTGAGCGCGCTGGAGAAGGTCGTACTATGGTTGTCGTTGCGCATCGTCTTGCGACAGTGCAAAATGCGGATGTGATCTTTGTTCTTGGTGAGGGCAAGTTGATTGAGAAGGGGAGCCATCGCGAGTTATTGGCTGCTCGTGGTGTTTACTGGCAGATGGTAAGTCTTATCGTACCCTGGAGTTACATTGTCTTGATTGAGTTGAATACTGACTTTAAACAGTGTCAAAGCCAGGCTTTAAATAAGTAGATGTCCCCCTGACTTTTGGCGATGTCGCTGTCGCAGGAACTTGCCTTATTTATCTTTACTGTACCATAACTTATCACAACGTGCCGATATCTACATCATTCCAACATCTCTTGTGATCAAGCGTGGATGTCAGCTACTGTCTCAGCTTCGTCATCTAAGAGCCCGGTCCATGAGTATATAAGGCCCTATTATTCAATTAGCCTAGACTATCTTCCGGGTGCCAGCTATAGCTTCCGAGTAAGGCTCTAGAGCAGTGTACTTGCCACCAGGACGACCAATAGCCTGGTAACAGAACTGCATGTTCTGGGTAGTAAAGATACAATTCAAAGCATACCGAATATTGTTCTTGGTGTGCTTCTTGATATCTGAGATACAGTCTGGGTCGTTGTAGTCGAATATGGCACTAGCGCCGTATGATTTGACCAGCTCGAAGTTGCGGGGCGAACATGTTGTTATTGGTGCAAACCCTGCCAGTTTGACGAGCTGAATGGCTGCAGTTACAGTAGCCGATGAGCCACCATGGACCAAGACAGGGTAACTTCAGTGGCAGGGGAGAGAGAGGATTGCCAGGAAGTCCGAGACTCTTGAACAAAGCCAACCCCGTCGTCATGAAGCTAATGCCCAAAGAAGCACCTTCTTCAAAACTGAGATTGGGTGGGATTTCAACAAGATCCATTACACGGCAGCCGTGTACTCGGCAAATGCACCGACTGTGGGGTCTAGAGGGTTCATTCCCATGATTGCTGTGCAGACGCGGTCTCCGACGCGTATGTCGCATTTTGTCGCGTCAGGCCCAACCATTTCTACAACACCAGCGAAGTCAAAGCCCGCAACAGCACCAGGTGTGACGTAAGGTGCAGTCATTCTGGTATCGACTGGATTTAATGAAACAGTTTTGGCTATAATGAGAACTGAGTCGCCTGTGATGTTGCGGATGGTTTCGGTTGATGACAGGCGGATACCACCTTTATCAGTCCTTACAAGGGCAGTTTACTGGCCATGGTGACTTGAACAATTCGTGTCTTGGAATATCTCTATAGTATGACTGAGATCATAGGTAATTTTAAGAGTAATATTTACTGGCGAATTTTTCTCCTGAGATATTGGAACAATAAATTGACGCGGACCCCTGGCTGATTGACAATTACTTGTCGCGAACTCGCGATGCCACCGAAAATGTCCGGTAGGTGCAGGGTATGTTGAGCGAATGACCGAAAACCCCAACGCAATTGCTACAGACATGGGATGCACGCGTCAAAAAGTAAGCGGACGTGAATATGAGGAGGTCTAACATTAGAAATAGTAGTAAGAAACTGGTCTGAGGACCAAATCTGACCTGCGTGTTGTTATGAGGCCGGAACTTCATGAAGAAATCATTACGGATTTGACAATGAAATTGGATGTAGACTGAATTTAACAAAAACTAGAGAATGGCCAATCAGAGGCTGTGATTTGCTGACTGTAAGAGCAAGATTACTGATAAGATATGCGAAGATAAGATAACAGAGAGCGATAAGGACAAGTTAGCTTAGCTCGCATTGTCCCCCTGTCCCAACCCCCTCGTAAGATTCTCCGATCGTTCCACCATAAAGTCTTTCCACAAATCCCGTATTACCGTTGGCATCGGGTCTAGGTCGGCTCGTCGGAGTGTTCCAGATGATGCGTTTATGACGAACCTGGAATTTCCAGCGCTGCCCTTCATTTCCCTTTGCAACAAACACGACAGTGTAGCCAGTGTTACGGTATCCACCAGTGACCGCGTCATCCGAGTCAGAATTATCTTGCTTACTCAGAATTAATGAGTCATGGGTGTTTAACGCGTCTTTATGAGTGACAACGCGTTAAGGCGCACAGATCAGCTGGCCGTCGCGGTAGAGTCGCGCTATAGTAGATGGCTGGGCCTTTCCCTCTGGTGGGAAGATGCGTATCATTTGCATTGCATAATGACCAGCTTGAGCTCAGAGATAGTATGACTCAGTCAACTTGAACCAGCTCAACGGCGACCAAACGCAATCCATGTCGCCCTTCGCTGAAGTGCCCAAGATAAAATTCACAGCTGCGGTCGCGTCTGAGGAGTACAGAGACAGCTGCGCTTTGACTGAGGCTCTACCAATTGGTTGCACGTAGTATACTCTTCACAAGAAGCACAAGCAGCCTACTTTCAAGCTAACATCTATTTATAAATAAATCAAGGAGTAAAGAATAAGATCTTTAGTTGTGATGCAAGAAGAAATAGTTTATTAATACAGAAAAGAATTTAAAAAGATCTATAAGGCCCTATAGTAGTAGTCCTATTATTGACTCCAGTCCAAGAAGTTATTACAGCTGACCTGTTGTAGTAATAGCGTTTCCACTGCCTGTATCAATCTCAACAAAAGAGTTATCAGAGATGGATGGTGTGTTGTAAGAGTACTGGGAGTAGAGCTGCTGCCCATTCTGAAGATTCTGGACACCGACAGTTGCGCTTCCACCATGCCTAGTATTGTAGTAGGCAAACCGAATCAATCCTGGATGGTCTTGGTAAAGACTGGCTGTGAAGTGATTTTCGCCATCTGAACCATCCACGTTATATTCAACAGTAAATGTTTGACCTCTTTCGGTTTCATGGACTTCGTAGGTGATACCTACTCCACAAAGCCCACCTGAATTGACAAAGAGATCGTCTCAGTAGGGCATGATAGCAACGCGAGGGGCACCTTCGGTAGGCAGTGCTCGGTTTGTGAAGAAACCGCCGCTGTCGAATAGTGACAAGAAGCCATTGACGCTGACATAGACAGTAGATGAAGAACTACCAAAGACACTGACTGGAAACGGTAAGGTGACCCCCTGGTAAGTATCGTCATAAATAGTACCGTCTGGCTCCGAGACAAAGATTGGCGTAGGATTGGCCAGGACTGTGACTCGGGGACAGGCAGCCTCTTTGGTTGTGGTCTCAGCTTCGGTGGTTGTAGTCACAGCATCTGTGGTGGTTGTGATTCCCACGGTTGTTGAGGTTATCTGACCGGAGGTGGTAGCTTCAGTCGTTGCAGTCGAAGTCTCGAATTTTGTTGATTCGCTTTCGGTAGTAGTGATGTCAACATCAGTTGTAGCAGTAGTGCTGGCTACCAGCGTGGTAGCGGTCTCGGTCTCTGCCTTGTTAGTTTCTGTGGTGGTATCCAAGGCGGCTTTCTCAGATCCAGTTGAGGGCTGCAAAGAGAGTAGGGTGGTCGTAGGGTCTGATACAGAACTAGATACAAAAAGTAACTATATAAGAAGTAAGCTAATTGTATTAGTATATTACTTAGCTAACTGTAACTAATATAGTATCTCTAAGTGCTAGGCTTTTATTTGCTTTTTATTAATATAATCTCTACCTTTTATTAGTTATAGTCTTAAGGAAAAAGTAATAGTAGCTGCGGATTCTATGCCCTTTAGTTCTTGGGATACTTTATAGTTTGCGATCCCTTGCTATCTGTGTTGGTATCTTGCGCATTGCTGGGCATCTCATTACCAGATGTATTACTATCAGACGAGTAGTAGCCGGGAGGGATGATGGCTGTATTTACAGCGCCGCTCTCTTTGCCTTCGACGTTAGGTCGACCCCCGGAAGGCTTCCTGTCCCTATAAGGAACTTTACCCAGCGGTGGGTTCCGTACCGCAGGTTCATCTTCAGCAGGTAATGTCAATTCCACCAGGCCGAAGTAGTACTCTGCTGTCTTTAAGAAGTCGACATCAACGTTCGACCTCTCAAGTTGCCCTTTATCCCCGGATGCTTGTTCTGGAATATTTTGCTCCCTGTCCTTCCCATCCTTGCAGTAAAGGTCTCCGGGCATAGCCTGCCGGTTCATGTAGTCTTGCGCATGATCCTTTACCCAGTCTCTGATCTCCCCAGCCACTAACCTTAGCATTCTATCTTCTGCCTGCTTGACGGCGAGTTCCAAGGCCTTGGATTCACAGTCACAGGCCATGCTGGCTGGAGCATGGCAAATAGCGCAATCTGGGTCCATGAACCCCAGCCGTTGACTCTGGGAAGTATCCGGGCGTGGGTTCCAGTTGACTTTCGGACTTTCATGATTTGAAACACGTTGGATGAAAGGTTGAAGCACAGGATCATCTAGGTCAGGATCATGGTCATAACTGGAAGGGGCTGGAACATGATCCAACAATCCATCTCCTGAAGCAAGCGAGGACCCCCCAAAGACTTCATCGTCCCCCCACTGTGACCCATACCAAGCCTCATCAGCGACTGGTGGACTGAGGGACCCAGTTTCTTCAAGAGCTCGCTTGATTGTACTTCGACTTTGTGCACGGGAGGTATCCCCACTGTCATGTCGATCTTCGGCCTCATCCAATTCATCTGCGTCATCAAGTGTAGCCGGTAGGGACTTGAGAGCCAACAGCCGCATGTGACTCACAACGTGGCTTTCCATCGATTTGTCAGTCTTGTCGACACCGCAAAGGGGACAAGCTGTGAAGAGGGGTCCGCCCGTCGAAGCCCCTCGGTCAGCTAATACAGCGAGCTGGGCGTCTTTAAATTTGCCAGGATGACATGTATTCATGTGTTGAATGTAATCTGCCTTCGTCTTAACGATGAACTCTTCATGAGCTTTCGATTTACAGCGCCATCGCAAAGTATGATCTCTCATGTGTTTCATCCATTGTCCGCTATGTGAGTACAGATGATTTGGAGATTCGCATTCCTCAAACAGGCAGACGTAGGGATCAAGATCGTCCTTGACATGCATCCTGTCCATAAGCTTTAGTACTCCTAGGACTGCTAGGCTTGGTAACTTCCAGGGCGGATGAAGCGGGACTTACTTCCACTTTTTGTCGTCGATGACATCGCGAATAGGAAGGACATGGAAGCAGTATGGACAAGTAACCTCCGGTACTGCCTCGATACAGCTATTCCAGGCTTCAGCTAATTCTAGCTTTTGCTTCATACGCTCGATCTGCTCATTTCCTTCTCCACTGCGCTTCTCCTGCGAGGTCGGAATTTTGGATTCATTCCCGCGGCATTCTATTTCTCTCTTCATCTTATTGTATTTCCGCATCAGACTCCCTATCGGCGCAGGAGGAAAACACAGCTCCTCGGCCCCACTGAGCGCAACGGTCTTTGAAACTGAAATGACGGATGGTACACTAGCCTTTCTAAATTTCTCTGGAGAGAGCGTTGTTGCAGTCTTTGTCACAGACTGTGCCTGACTCCGGGCTGATGCCTCGACCGCACGGCGCTTATTGGATCCATGGGTCTCGTGATCGGTCGGATTTAACCTCGGACGCGATATCACAGGTTTGGCCACTGGCTCTGGAAGACGTATTGATGTCGTTCCATAACGCTTTCTGCGAAAGAGAATTCTTTTTCGACGAAGAACCATCGAATCTGCGAGGCGGTTACGAATGCTCTCGTCTATTCCAGGAAATCGATCGTGTATGTAGTTGATGAATAGCTGTCGAAGGAACGGCTCCGCGTCGTTGCCCTCATCATCCTCGATGACGAAATCTTTGGAAGCTTTGATGTTTTGAGTCTCTTTACTTGCCCGGCGAATTGTGTTAGAAATCTTATGAAGTAAAGTGATGTCATTTCGCAATTCGTCAAGTGAATCATTGAAGGTTGCAATCGAATTCTCCGGATAGTTTAGATTCGCATTCGCTGCGATTGAGACGAGGATGCTAGCGGCTAAGAGTCGGGTTATGGTTAGCATAACTAGGCGTCGCGAGATCAAGCGAGTCTCGGGATCCCGATCGTATGTTGCTACTTACAGGTTTTCAGATGGTGGTCAAGCGTTTCCAAAAGGCTAGTGATGGCATATTTAACATCAGGCGCCTCCCGTAAACGACTATCGAGGGAATCTCGATTAATACTGAAGACTCGAAGATTGGCTGTCCAAAGTGAGAACCTCGCCAGTTGGTCTTCAATCTGAACAATAGATGACTTTGTGCTCACAGCTGAGCCAGCCTTTTGAGCGCTGCTCGCGTCGTTGAGGCATTTCTGGAAAGAGACAAGACATATCTTAGCGGTATCGACTAACCTAGCCCCTGGGAACTCTTCACTCTTCTCACCGGTGGCTATGCTCGACATGTTTTGAATATTTGCCTGGCAGAAATCTAGCCACAGGTTCTAGTATCTAAACGTTCCAAGAACATTTGCACCGAGGGAGCGGCGTGAATGGGAGCCTCATTATCCAGGCAAAAAGCAGGGATCAAAGAGGGGTCGGTTGATGTGTGACAAGGAATACTACCCCGTCTTACCTCGACGAACAACCCCATTGTCATCTTCAATAAAAAAGTTCTCACTGGACATAAGCTTCATGGTTATCCGGCCGTATGTTTTTAATCCCTGGCTACTATGGGGTCCGGTTCCAATTCAACTACCGGTAGAGGTACCGTGAACTTAGTACAACACGCATATAAGTCCGTTCAGCAAATTGCCAAGGCTCTGCGCTTGGATGAGCAGGATGAGGACCTGAAGGCCTTTTACGCCAAGATCATCGTCTACTGCACCATAATAGAGGACCGACTGATCGCAGCTGGAGATAGCGCTATTTTACCATCGGCCGACACTATTCATATTGTTTTAAACCCCCTGAGGCGAATGTCTACGATATGTCTCGAAGGATCTTCTCATGCCTCAATCGATATTTGGTTGCGTGAATTGAAACTGATCCAGGACAAAATACGAACCATCAGAGATAATAGCAAAAAGATCACTATCATTGGAAGCCAGCTAAAACTGGGAACGACACCGGGTGACCATTCTGAGATTGCAACGTCACTTGACCAATGCGAAGAGGAGCTACGCGTCAGATATCCTGAAGACCCATCTCAATGGACTACAGAGGATCTTGGTCCCCAGCTGGGCATAGCAGAACCAACCTACGCCGTCCGAAGTGCCGCACAGTCAATTTTCGAGGCGATGGTGGCGTGCAAGGATTGTCCATGCACACCAGCCCACGACTTAAGTGCCCGTTTATCCCTAGGGACTTATCGAAGACCAGAACCCGAGTCGGATGCTGAGCTGAACGAAGTTGATTTCAACATGTTTCTTTCCTCGCGGGACGACTGGCAAGAGGTCATCATCCATACAACCAAAGATAAGCAAGTTAGGATGGTGGTCAGCGAGGGACCTGAAATACCAGCCAAGATCAAATCCTCATCTGCTATCAGGACTATGAAGGTGAAGAGCATATGTGAACAGATCACAAAGATCAGCTCGAGAACCTCCTATCGTCTTGTATTTAAGATCATCCGGAATCAGCTTTATAAACTCCAATCAGAAAGGAGCTGCGGTAGCGACTACAATTCGCACAATGCTGTATCCTTGGATGAGTTCCTCAGAAATAGATCTGGCTCATTTACCGAGAAGACAAAAAGGATACTGGCTGTTATCCTAAGTTCCGCTACATTCCACCTTTATAATACACCATGGTTGCTGCCCGGCTGGAACTCATCCGATGTATGGTTCTTCCGTACGTCTTCATCAATCATACCGCTGAAACCATTTATACACCGACCACTATCAAGTCTTGACCACGCTACGAATGATTGTGGTTCGGTTTATGGAGTGAGCCAAGAGGGAAGCATCAACACGGAGGATCTAGATCCAGATGATATGGACCCAGATGACGTTCTGGGACATAACTGCCCTGCTCTTATTATTCTCGCAACAATGCTGTTGGAGATATACTTTGTGGCTCCATTTGACATTTTAGCTAGAAAGTACAACGTCTTCTTGGAGTCTCAGTCGCAGTCTACTGCCTTCTCAAGGTATATGGATGTCAACTGTGTTTTCCAAGCCTGTCGGAAAGAAATTCCAGAAAACTCTCAATTCTACCTGGCGGTGGAAAACTGCCTGGATCCAAATGTTTGGCAAGATGAGAATGGCAATATTCTTGACGATCTAACATTGAGATCTAAGATTTATAGCGAAGTGGTTCTACCTTTAGAAACTGAACTCAGTCAAGCTTACAGCGATATCCAAATCCAAGATCTCGACCGATTTGCACAGAATGTGGATTTCGGGAGTTGGGGGCAGCTTTCACAAGCGTGGGAACAGCAGAATCACGCCCCTGTTTTGCAATCCATTGATAAGATATATGAATCTATAGACAGATGTCGGCGGGATTCACCAGGACTACGATTGAACCTTAAAATCAGAGACACCGAGACTCGAGCCCGAAGAAGCCAACAGGATTCCCAACCGAATAAGCGTCGGTTTAGCCGCTCGCCCAGTGGTGCCGAGACAGAAAGTCTATCGTCACAACTACCGTTGTTGACAGATGCACAGGCCTTCACCCGATCATCATATACCGTTGGCATTCTCTGTGCGCTACCCCTTGAGCTCCTTGCGGTACGAGCGCTATTTGATGTCAAGCATTGCAATCCCAAATACGTGAGAGGAGACAGTAACACCTATGCACTGGGGACAATGAGTGGGCACATGGTAGTGGCAGCTTGTCTACCATCGGGCGAATATGGGACAAATGCTGCTGCCGAGTCGGCCTCTAATATGAAACGGACCTTCTTCAACGTCGAGTTCTGCCTTCTCGTTGGTATCGGAGGTGGTGCCCCTACGCAGGAGAATGATATACGGCTGGGTGACGTGGTTGTAAGCTTACCGACGACCAAGTATCCAGGTGTTATACAGTATGATCGTGGCAAGGAGATGGAGGGCAACACTTTCGAACTCACTGGGAGTCTCCATCCACCTCCCCGTTGTCTGATGACAGCCGTTAGCTCTCTTCGTTCAAATCCCGATCTTCCTTCCAACGCGCTTCAATATTCACTTGAAGAGATCGTCAGGCGGGTCCCGGAAGCTTTAGCGCCACGATACCAGCATCCAGGGAAGGACCAGGACTGTCTTTTTCAGGGTACTTGTCTTGCCTGCCGGGTAAATGGGGAATGTACTAAAGATAGCCACATGAGCTCCAGACCAGACCGAGCGACGTATCACCCTGAGATTCACTACGGGCTTATCGCATCAGGGAATAGGGTTCTCAAAGATGGAAGTGTACGAGATCGCTGGGCGAAGCAATATGGCATCTTGTGTTTTGAAATGGAGGCAGCCGGAGTCATGAATACGTTTCCCTGTCTGGTCATTCGAGGCATCTGTGATTATGCGGACTTTAACAAAAACAAGACTTGGCAGCATTACGCGGCCGCAACGGCAGCTGCTTATGCAAAGTTATTGTTACAACATACAGCTGCCAACGATACCAACTGGGCTAGAGGGAAACAAGAGGATGTGGATGATAGTCAGTTGCATAATGAGCAAGAAGGCTGGTCTAAACGGCAAAGGCTGGGTGAAGAAGCACAATGATAAAGACTGCTACGACAAGTCATATACTTGCACAGCCTCATCTTCCATCACAACTTCCCATATCCCCTTCACATAATCATCATCAGTAAAGTCGCAAGGCCATACAACTCTCAGCAATGCAGCCTTTACATCCTTCCACGTCTTCAAACCCAGAACCCGACTCCGCTCCCGTGTAAATTCTTCAAAATACAGTTTGATTCCAGGGTCGTATGCAAGGTCACCCTGCTTCTCGTGCACTTGAAGACTTATCACCGCAACAAATGACTCCCAGAAAAGCAGATCTGCTATCTGTGGTGCATTTGGCTTTTGTAGAGCATAGCTGAGATCGCGCTGGAGTATCCTCATTGTGTAGAGATAATTGTCTCTTGTGAAGGGTCTCCAGAGCACCACTATCTGCTCCAAATACAGTTCGGTTGCGATCAATAATCCAACCCACGAAGTCTTCTGCTCATATTCATCAATATTGTTTGCGGGAGTCTCGTTACCTTTAGGCACAGAACTTTTGTGTGCTTCAATAAAGCCTTCGTACAGCATTGCTGACGCCTCGGATTGCCAGAAGTCATGTTGTATCTGGTAAGCACTTCTGGGTAATGCTTTTGAATACCCATCGTAGAAGTTGCGCGTTAAGATTCGAAGCCCTGGCAGCACACGGGTAATTGAGATATCTTGAAAGATGTCTCCGCTGTAGTTGAAGGTCACAGGGAACTCGCGAATAGCGTTTAGTGCGACGCTGTGAAAGTATTGGCCCCTATCATCCGCGATATGCCAACTGCTTATACCGGGAGTATCAATCAGAGAAACTGAACTGGTCCTGGTCTCGGTGAAGCCTATAGGTCGTCGCATAAACTCAAGAGCCGTTGTTGTGCCGTGCAGAAAGGTAGAAGTTCTAGGAACGTCAATATCGGTAATATACGAAATGAGCCGATGATAGCACGTACATTAGAAAGTATCGATCTGATAGTTTTTGGTCCTGAATCGTGCCCCCTGTATCTACATGCTCTTCTCTGTAGCGCGAAAGAGCGTATATAGCATTCAGATGTTTCTCTGCCATCCGATGATCTCCACGGCAAACCTGCAACAGCTCAGTACCAATCCGGTTATCATCATTATTATCTCTATACCTCTGTGTATGCTAATAAAGCCATCTGCTTCGTGATAGGCGCACAGAGCGTAAAATCTTCCTTAGCAAACCATTCCTTTACTAACCGTACTGTCTCAAGCGTATGGAAGTAAAAGGTCTGCTCAAAGGTTTTAATATTACCAAAGTTGAATCCAAAATGGGTGGCTGCAATTAAAACTGCACTTCGAAGTGCGTCGGGGTCTGATATAATGTACGCCATGCTGTTGAATTTTAGCTTCTTGTAACGAAACGCCAAGTTAAATAAACATACCGTCTTTGGTGGCGGTCTGAAGCCGACGTACTGGTGCTTCCTTCTGGTTGGTAGACTAACAAGAACACGTTACCAATGAGACATTAGTCAAGGATGAAGCGCCTTACAATAATGGAAGAGTTCATGCGATTTCAGCGGCATGTTAATTGCCAAACAATCCAGGTTCTTCTTGGAACCCGCTACAATGAGTTGGTGAGTCAAACTCTGCGTATTGGGCACCTCTGGTTGTTTCGAAGAGGTTGAAGCGTCCCATGGGGCATGTTCCCATGGCTGTGCAGCTCCAGCTCTCTCCAGCGCTCTTCGTTCGCTTAGAGGAACTTGAACGGGTGGATATTCACAAGCCTTGTTAAGCCTGATACATTTTTGGCTGCGCGTACGTAATCAGCATTTAAAATAAATAACCGATTGTCAGCTCACCATATAGGACGATTTTCGTCACATTTTACTCGTCGAGCTTTACACTCAATGCAGCCCATGCGGCTACGCGTATGGGCACGCCGCTGTCGGACTTTAACAGGCTTGTTGTCATTTGATGACATGGTTCCAATTGCGATCCCGATATTGGGCGGTATTATTTTGTGAGGGTACGAAACCTGGTTGCTAAGATATCATGAGGCTTTTTAAGCAGTCAGCACTAACCAGATTTGGGTGGATATACGTCGTCTGTCGAGGTGTCAAGCTACATGTTAGAAAAGTACTTATCAGATTCCTGCCAAGAGGTTACAATCATATTAGTCTGGTTGGAAGGTACCTCGTCTAATTTACCTAAAGTGGCCTGCTAAGTATCGCACTACCACCTTTCATAAACGATGATTCTCTGTTTACTTAGCTGCATGACTTTTTTGAATGACTTGTTAAGAGCTATTAGATAATAAGTGCTTAAACAGAGGTTAGAACTGTTGTGTTGTTTAATATATATACTTTGCAGGACTTGCGCCTTAGAAAAGCCTTAAGGACATTGCTTGTATTAGCCACACTTTCTATCACGTGGGGCTTTCCAGAAGGTCAGCGGATTCATCAGCCAACTACTGTCAGTAAACCTGACCCGACCCTGTCCAAAGTGCCAAGTCGTCATAAAAATCGACGCCTGAAGCTAGATAATCAGAGAATGCGCGTTGAAAAATGGCCATAAGCTCGACGGAAAGATACAACTGAAGACTGCGAAGTCTCTTAATAATAGATCGTCCAGAGTATGCGAGTGGAGACCCAGTGTACAAAGAAGTGTAATAGTAGAGAAGCAGAGGCTTACTGGAAAGTCAAGTTTATAGTAGATGGTTGCAAGCTATGAGATACAGAGACAACTATATCCTATGAATATTTATTTCTAATTCTTTATGCCTTGATACCAGCAAGTACCTCATTGATGTTTTCGGTGATGACCTTGACAGGATCAGAGGCATCCATGTCTGCTTGGATCTTCTTTGCACCCTCCTTGTATTTGGGATTAGAAAGTACCTCATCAACGCCAGCTCGAATAGCTTCACTTGTGGGACTTCCAGTCCTAAGGTTAACAGCCACACCAGCCCACTCTATGATGGCACACATCTCGGTCTTATCTTCGCTCTCACCTGCAACCACCAGAGGCGTTCCATGAGAAAGAGCAGCCCGCACTCCACCGTAACCGCCATTGCCAACGAACACCGAGGCCAACGGAAGAATATCATCATAGGTAAAGTAGTCAATTACCCGGGTGTTGTCAGGAATGACAATGTCTGAGTGGAGTTGTGCTCCGCGCTGACCCAAAACAACAATCACCAATGTATTGGGACGGTCCTTCAGTGCATCTATCGCCGGGATAACGATATCCTTGTAGTCCATGCGTACAGTACCTTGGCAGACAAAGACAATGTCTTTGCCCGTTGAGTTATTTGCAACTTCCTCCCACCAAGCTGGCTTGCTTGCTGTTGAGGTATCAGCTTTGGGAATCTTGGGCATTCCGCCAGCGAATCGAAGACTTGAAGGTGCATCGCTTCTTGGATACATCATCGAAGACGAACACATTTGCAAAAATCGGTCGGGCCAAACATACGGCGCATCGTTGAAAAAGGTTTGATCATCTGGCTCGCCCCCAAGATCTTTCAAGATACTGTTAAATAGCGCGAAAGGGCTAGAGAATAAGGTATTCCTCAGCATTTCCCACATCATGGCATACTGAGCCCTTTGCTCCGGAGAGGTCGGGAGCGGTAACCCTGTGTTAAATGGGGGAGTGTCGGCGCTCGTTATGGAGATGGGATTGATGCCGATACCAATGAAAGCATCTGGCTTGACTCCTCGTGCACCTCTTTGCAGCGGCAACGAACCTGCGTATGCGGATTCATTGAGAAGTACAACAGGTCTGCCGGGATGCTCCTCCCTGACCTTGGTGATGGCTTTCTGCACTGCGGCTAGCTGGTCTGGAATGACTTTAATGAAACTTTGCTCGAGTGTCCAGGCAAGCTGTTCTGGTCCGGGTTCCATTAGCTCCCTCTCAGGCCATTTGGAGTCGCGGTCTTCGTCAACATAGTCTGCGTAGCCCTGAATGGCAACGTAGTCGCATCCAATATCTTCGAATCGCTTTCTGTAGCCACTAGCACAGACAGCTGTGACGTGATAGCCATCAAGCATCAATGCCTAGACCAATTAGCATGGAAGATAAAGCCATAGCTTATGTTGTGCTGGACTTACTTTAGCAATTGTGGTGATGGGGTTGACGTGACCCGCACCAGGGGTACAGGTCATAATAAGCAGAGGTTTCAGTTGGTCAGCCATGGCAGAATGTACTGAGTGAAGGAGACAGTGATTGACAGAGTTCAGTGTTGTTTGTAGTGATTGCATATATCAACAGGCTAGGACAAGAAACAAAGGGCTTTACAGCGAGGCAAACTGCGTATCACGTGAGGTTTGAAAGGAAGACAGAGAGAGCGATTTAATGAGTTTCCCAAAAAGACTTAGCATAGATAATACGGGTACCTGGGAGATGTTTTTATGGAGTTAGTCGGGGCGCAAAGCTTAAAATGGGTCTGCAGACAAGGGTCGAGTTAGGCCTGCACCTAGCCCAGCCTACGGTATCAATAATACTCCGGAGGATTGAGCACGGGCGGGCTGCTAGTAACTAGGATCTGATTCCCTGCTATCTATTGTGGACTCCTAACATGTACGATATTAGCGCGCATGCAACCCTGTCTACCTGTGCATGGTCCAGAACGTCGCCCCTGCAGCAATGGACGAGAAGCCAATCTTTTTGTTTTTGTTTCCCCCAGCGCTCTCCACAGTCGGAGCCCGCTCATTTCAAGACACTGAGTTGCTCAACTCATCGCGATAATTGCCTACACAATTTGACCAAACAAACTTCATCGGCATTAATTACCAAAGATGAGTTTATCGAAGCCTTCGGGGCCTAAGGGCCGCAAATACTGGCTCGACAATCTAAGAGCTGTCATGACGACCATTGTCATCATCAACCATACAGGCGCAGCCTACGGTGGTGGTGGCACAGGGGATCACCCAGGAAGCTTCGCCAAAACATCACCTATCGTATTGCCCTATGTCGCTTTCCACTACGCTTATGGCCTTGGACAGTTCTTCTGGCTTTCAGGGAACTTAACGGCTAAGTCGCTCTCCAAAGGTTCATGGACAGAGTTCGTCAAGAGCAAACTCCTGAGGCTGGGCCTGCCATCGCTCTTGTATTCCATCTTTCTCGAGCCGCTTCAAAAGATCGCCACACGGCCCGGAGATCTCCGTGAGAATCTAAAGAATTACTGGAACGCGGTGCTTGAGCATAAGGGCTGGAAAGAACCTGGAGGCGGGACCGTTTGGTACACGACGACGCTGCTGATGTTCGATCTCTGCGCTGTTCTTCTTACCCGTTGTCTGCATCTATTCAAGACCAAGGGTGCTCGCTCGCCAGAGTTCCTCAGCGTGGCCAAGATTTACGGGCACATGTGTCGTTGGGGATGGCTGGTAATTGCTGGAACCAGATTTTTGGTTGGCACAAAGTTCCCTATGGGCTCCAGGCTCCCCGTGATTCATGTTCAGCCGTGGTTCCTACCTCAGCACATCTATGGCTACGTATTGGGCTACATGGCTTCTGTTTTGGGTAAGTCACGAATGTCGAGCTTGTATGAGAACAAGTCCGGACCACTTGGCAAACTATCCATGGCCAAGGCCAGTGCCATCTCTTTGGCGTTGATACCAGTTATCTTGATCCCCAGCTTTCTGCGAGACAGAAAGGCTAGCAAGAAAGAGGATAGTGACAAGGATTCATATCCTCCTAATAAGGGTGGCATGCAGCTGTCGGGATGGACTGCAGACGCCGCACTCTTTGCTCTCTGGAACGAATTCACTTTCGCGACTGTTGGTCCTGCTTTCATGTCTCTTTGGGAACACAACTACAACCGACCAGGAAAGCAGAGGTTATGGTCTCCTCGCTATGCTTACGCAGCATATCTGCTTCACTCGCCCATATCGTGGTTTGTTGGTCGAGGTTTGCACACTGCCATGTGCAGAGGGGAGGAGAGACCAGCTTGGATGGACTCTGAGTCTTGGCAAAATATCGGACCTGTGTTAATGACAGCAACGGCTGGCTATATCGAGGTTGTTGCTTCCTTTGGGTTTGGTATGTTCTTGGTTGATTATGTACCGGGTGCGGGTTCAATTCTTTAAGATTCATCGACTTAGTTTCGATATTCGGTGGACCGTTTTTGTTTGAGCCTTTATGTAATAACTTCTATAACTAAGTTAACATCTAGATTGTATGGACTTTTTAGCTATTCTGCTCGTCGTAATAGTGTGCAGCATCCTAGGAATATCTTATGTTAGAATCACTCATTACTACCATTCATAGTTAGAGGTTCAAAAGCTTAGTAGCATTTTCTACATAGACATCGTTTCGTTGAGCCTCATCGAATATTCCTTCGAGGCCAGTATCCAAGGCATCTGCCAAACCCACCACTAGCCTTTCAGGAGTAAAGGGATAGTCTGTCCCATAAACCAGCCTCTGCTCTCCTCCTTCGCCCAGTATCCTGAGTAGGCCATGGATGGCATTAGGTAAAGGGAACCCAGCAAGATCAAAGAAAAACCTCTCCCGCAATAATTCCTCGAACTCAGCGGTCTGACTTTCTGCCCCTGATATCAAAGTCGCAAAAGCACCGATGCGATCAAGCATTGAAGGCAGTGCGCAGCCACAGTGGGACATAATGTACCTGATGTCTGCGTATCTAGCAACAGTTCCCGAGAGAAGCAGATTTGCCACGGCGCGAGTCTCGTCGAACATGAACTCCATCATCGGCCGAGGATACTTCTCCAGTGGCTTGACTGCTTGTACCTGTGGTAGAGCATTTGCCTCTGCAGATACAGGGCCAAGGATGTTGCATGTCGTCGGATGGATGAACAATACAGTCTTCCGAGCGTTCAGATGTGCAAAAACAGCATCAAGCTTTTCATCGCCTAGATAAACGCCGTTGGCATTTGACAGAACCGCAATCCCTAGAGCCCCAAGCTTGTCCAATGCATAGTCGATCTCGGCAATGGATTCATCGACCAGCGGCAAAGGCAAGGATGCAAAGAATCCAAAGTGCGAGGGATGGTCGTTGCAGATAGAAGAAAGTTCCTCATTAACCTGGCGGGTCAAACATGCTGCATTGTTATCCTTACTTGGCGTCAAGTGTGTGCCTGGTGAGGTGATGCTCAGTATGGATTTGCTAATATTCAGCTTCTGCATAAGGGCAATATGCTGCTTCGGACTCCATTGCTAAACCTTGTTAGTAACCGATGGAACCTCTACATATGAGCTAGTCACGTACAGGGAGAGCAGGCATGCCATCAGGCTTTTCGTGGCCATTTTCGACAGCATATTGACGATATCCTGGAGCCACAGCGTGACAATGGAGGTCAATTCGTTGCTGCATTGGTTTGAATTTTGGTGCGGATTGCATGTGCTCCTTCCAGTGTGCCTTGTCGATATGGGTTTGCGTATGGATAAAAATACGAGATACTCTATGAGTGAGTGGATAAATAATGGGCTTGGGGCTGAGCTTCTCGCACAGCGAAGGTAAGGACAGCCAAGCCCACTATAGTCTTCAATAGCCAATCACTTTTCTTATCTGACATACTCCGCCTGGGTTGCGAAATATCTGGGTCCGACCCTTGCCTCGGCTTAAGCAGATCCACATACCATGCTGGATAATTACTGATAATGCACGGAACTTTGAAACCCTAGGTGCACCTTCACAGTCACATCGTCTTGCCATGTAACGGTGAGTCTGCTTCTTCCGACTGTGCCTATCTCGGCTCCAATCATCGCGCGGACTGCCTTGGGCAGAGTACGACAGGGAAGGAGGGCGGGGCGGATGGGCTCACACGGTTTAGATACATAAACAGGGGACCATGTGGCTAAGCCGCCACCACTCGCAGGGTCCTGCATGATCGGTGGTGAATCCTTTGAGCCACTAGGCTGGGAACACTAATTTGGTTGCAATGTGGATCACACTCAGACCGTTTATTTCATTTATTTCTCGAATTGTCCGATACTACCTGGATTCGGGCCCGAGCTTTCCATGCTAATCATGAGGTCCTCAGGGTAAGATACCTAAAAGAAGTTCCGGGTAGCGTCGACGAGAGATAACTCAGCAAAAGGAGTTGTTACTAAAGAGTGTATGAATAAATTGTCCATAAGATTGATTTTACTCATGACTCCATGTGCTGTTACTGTAAAACGAGAACAGCTAGTGGTTGGGATTGCCACATACCTGCTTTACGCCTCAAGGTTTACCTGACGACACGCAAAAGGTACCGGATCACAAATTTATTCGAGTAGCCGCATACAATTATGAGACCATAGAAATACAAAGCGACGAGACAAAAATAACTTTAAAATTTATTACAAGTCGGTGTTTTATCGAAGAAAGTAAAAGCCTCTGGGAGTTTCCTAATGTTGACAGACTGGCTTTAATTTAATGACCAACCATTATCCCTCGTTTGTTACGGACCCTTCAGCCGCGTGGTAGAGTGCGTTGAACGTAGAACTCATGTCGTTCAGAAGGGACTTGGGTGGGCCAATCTCCTTCACCCTCCCATGATCCAAGACGATAGCCGTATCGAAATCAAGTAACGTACGCAAGCGATGAGCGATCATGATCATGGTTCGACCGGGAAATCCATCCCTGATAACTTGCTGAATGGTAGCATCCGTGCTCGGGTCAATACTGCTTTACATTAGAACGGTCGCGGGCTTATGTGTTTGGGAATTGGTGACTAACTGTCCAGTGGGCTCGTCGAGAATTACGATGCTGCTGCTCCGTAGAAGGCTTCGGGCGAGACAGAACAGTTGCCTCTCACCGTGTGAAAATGAGTCGCGGCTCAGTAAAGCATCTAGTCCTCCGAGGGATGTGGCCTTTTTTAACAAAGTGACCTTCTCAAGAGCTGCAGTCATCTCATGGTCGGCAAGAGTTAGATGCCAAGGGCTTAGATTCTCTCGTATAGTTCCGTCAAATAAAAACGGCTCTTGTGTTACATAATTAAGCTTGGATTGAACGTCTTCGCAATGGAGTGTCGAAAGGTCGGTGCCGTCGATAAGAATTCTGCCCTGGTAGCAAGGTACTATCTGCAGGAGAGCTGCCATGAGGCTACTCTTCCCACTATGGGTTTGAAGCTACGTTAGCCGGATGCGAAGATAGAAGGTGCCTTAGATCAGAAAACTTACCTGCCAGTTCTACCACAGATACCAAGTTTCTCACCAGGTTTGACATTAAATGTAATACTGTCCAAGGCTAGTTTTGGCGACACCTCTAACCCTGTGGTAGCATCTTCATACGTTGCACTGACATTCTCAAAAGTGATACCGCCTCTTAACGGCCAACCTTCAATCAGGTTTGAAGACGATTGATCCGACTGTACCTCACGAGGGGTCTCACGTGAGAATGTGTAGATACGCGAAACAGCACCCAGTGAAGTCTCCATATCTGTCCATTGCATGACAAGATCGCATAGACTTTTTGCAAGTGTCGTGACATGAACAACGGCTAGGCCGACTAGTCCAGCACTGACCTTCGTGCGAAGAGCGATGGCAGCTCCAATGACGATCAGTTCTGTGCCTGTGGCGATGAGAGATAGGACAAGTATCAGCCAGCGTTGAACGCAGTAAAGGGTATAGAGGGGCTTTTGACACGAGTCCAAGAGGTTGTAGCTCTTTTGAACATAAGCTGAGCTCCAGCCAAAGGAGTGGATCGTGGTGATTCCCTGGATACTGTCGAGAAACAGCGACACGATAGGTGCCTTTTGTTCGAGTCTATTTAAGAAAAGGTAAAACATTAGCCTTTTGACCAGAACATGCTGAAAGGAAACAATGACAAGGGGAAACTGACTCGAGTAACCGCAACTGCCTGGAAGTGCGCAGGTACAGCATTTGAAGCAGATAAAGCACAATGGCAATTCCTGGTGCACCTATGGCCAAGTACGGGACAGCCGAGATAGCAACACCAATGCTTGCTAGGCACGCGAGTAGCGCTATAGACTCAAACGTTAGTCTGCTAAAAGCACGAGAGAAAATATTTATACGTACCCATCACTGTCAAAAGAATATTAAATGGCAGTTGCCAGTCACCTAAGCGGATGTCCTGACTGAACCTACCAATCGTTAGTTTGAAGGAAGAACGTGCCTATCTAATGGTTGCACTCACCTATTTATAAGAGATGCAGTGTCTTCTATGCTTGTAAGAGCTGTCAACGGAGCTCTTATTCCAAGTATATGTTAGCGACAATTTCGGGACTTGGATAGCACTAAAGCGCAGTGGTTTACCTCATCGTGGTTGTTAACAAGTCCGCGTGCATGACGTGCGATGCCTTGGAGGCCAATTTGGTGAAGAAGAAACTAATCGAGGTCAACATGATTTACCTGAAAAACAGTACAAGGCTCCTTGAAAAGGACTCACATGGGTGTTATCAGAATCCCAATAGTGATGAGAGTGGCCCAGGTAGCGTAGAGGCCTAGCCAGTAGCCAAGACCTCGGCCGCCATGGGAATCCTCGGCCCACCACACCAGCCAAACACCAAAGATTGCGTTCAGTACCATGTAGAGACTGATGCCAGTAACAAAGGTTCCGACACCAAGCCATCCCATAGCACCAAGATAGTACGTAAAGGGCCTCCAGTCTCCCTGCTTTCTCCGCAGATCATCGGCCTTGGTTTTGAGTTGAGATGCGTACTCTCCTCGACTAGCTTCAAGCTCTTTGACTTGGACCAGGGGATCTCGAGGCAAAGAAGAAGGCCGTGAAGACTTTCCACTTTGGTGTTGTGAAAAATATTCTTGCCGTGTGGCGAGTTCTGCGTATGGGCCTGAGTCGATGACTTGGCCATCTTGGCCCATAAGCAAGACGCGATCTGCGAGACGCAGAATCTGCAACGAGTGCGTTGCTACAACAACAGACATGTTCTGCGAGCGAATTATTCCATCCTTACTAAATACATTAGTTATCAAGGAAGATGTAGTACGCCCATCAAGGGCACTTGTTACATCATCAAAGATTACCCGTGCCTTTCTAGAACACAAGGCTCGAGCGATAGCCTAGAATGATGTTAGTCTTGACTTAGACACCCGTCATAGGCTATCCCAGTCACTCACGATACGCTGCTTTTGTCCACCACTCAGCTTCGATCCTCCACTGCCAACTTCAGTAGAGTCACTGTTGGGCATATTGTCCAGATCCTCACGAAGTTCACAACTGTGAAGTACAGATTGATACCAGCTTTCGTCCACTTCGGATTGGCCAAAAATGTTGTCACGGATAGTGCCTTCAAAAATCCAAGGAGTTTGAGAGCAATAAGCAACGTTGCTTGAGGGGAAGAGATCCGAAGGTTGAATTTGTTGAGAAGCAAGCAGTTCTCGAAGAAGGGTAGATTTGCCACAGCCGCTTGGCCCTGTGATAGCAATAATTGAATTTGGCATGAACTGAATCGGTAGGCGACTGTTTTGGTCATATCGGACTTCAAGCTTCCCACGAGACTGCTCGATACAGTCTAGAACAATACTCGACTCAGGTTCTATCAGGATGTTCTGTCTGGCACTCTGGCCAGTGAGGTCTGAGCTGCTGGTTGTAGCTGTCGAGGGGATGAGATCCTCGGGGGTCCGAAGAAATGATTGGATTCTACCGTAACATCCGATTGCTTGTGCTCCCATAGGAATTGCGAGCAGTAGCTGCATAGCAGGAGCGGATATGAGGTTGAGGATTGAAAAGCTGGTGACAGCCGTTGCCTCTGAGAAGTTGGGCTGTCCTGAAACCATCTTGGCAATTGAGTATGCGCCAAAGGTGACCAGAGGGGCTAGAACCTGAGGGGCGGAAGCTGTTATAGAAAGCATTAGAAAGATGTTCAGATTGAATCTGGATAATAGAACATTCATACCGGATGCCAAGGCAGAGCAATTGGTGATTCTGAACTTCTGGGATGTTCGTAGCTCATTCTCCCGCTTCTCATGCAGTTTATCTTCCAGAATCCTAGAAAGCCCAAGAAGCTTGACAGAATGCAAGAAGCTAAGTGTACGGGTTGTCAAGTCAATTCTTTTTTCGATTTGATCAAACCAAGCGGACTGATGACCAGCGATCCTGGAGCCGATGACGGCAACAAGTGTAAAGGTTACTAGTGGAAAGAGACAGTCAGCAGGCCGACGATTTGGGTGTTTGATACGTAGACTAGGAGTCTTCTAGACTTACAAAGAATCACGACGATTGGTATGCAGCAGACCGCACCTAATTGACGATAGAGAAGGTATGTTCCGATCACGATCTGCAAGAGATGAGCCCATGGCTCCAGTAATCTCCATGAATCGTTAACGATAGTTTCCACATCTGCACTCATAAGAGTGAAGGAGGTCATCTGGTGTAAGTCGTTTCCTCTCAGCTGGAGAAGCTTGGAGTAAATCAGGGGGACAAGTGCGCCACGGGTCATGGTCATAAGACGACCAACGTAGTGGAAACCCCATGGGATTACCAACTTTGCCAACTATGTCAGCTAACACTTCAAAGTGATGGGGTACATAAGACTCTTACAGCATTGGTCATGGAAACACAGAAGAACCCTCCGAGAAGCCCGTAGCCCCTGTTTATAGAACGGTCAGCTGAGTCCAGGAAGGTCACCAGTTCCTGGATGAGCAGTGGCTGGCAGATGTTCAGGCCGACCTGGACTAGATTTGCAAGTAGTATGATGCAGAGCTCTTTGGGGAAACTAGCAAGGACATCTATGAACAACGAAAGAGGTCCTATTGAAACCCCTGTTTACTGTTAGCAATGATGCAATGGTGGGCAAGAGCCAGTACTGACTCCTCTTCCATCGCCGCTCAACCTTAGCTGTCAGCGTCTGTGATGCTAGCTTCTCATTGATAGGTGGTAAGTCATCGGAAGATATGACGGTTCTGAAACCCATAGATAATACAGGAAACAACCAGATGAAGAAAGCTCTCGAGAAGAGGCTACTTCGAAGCTCTAGGGACGATTTAGAGTACTCGGGTAGCAGGATACTTGCTTTATCTCTAGCATCGGCCAAGAGAAGAAGCAACTTTACCACGACGATCGCAACCAGAACTCCAGCGACTGTATTACTGTCTGGAAGAAGAGACTGTGTCCTTGCTCGGACAGCATCTAGTAGTGTAGTTAAAAGTAAAGAGGCTGATAGAATGAAAGATGGCCTGATGGCCTTTCGATGTTCCCAATAACATAGTGCAGTAAGCAAGACGCTGGCGAGTAACTGAAAGGTTCCCGATAATACAAGGAGGACACGATGAGATGCCTGACTCCTGGAAAGGAAGGCTAGTAAGACAGCATGAAGGGCACCAAGTGCCACAAAGCCGAACTGAATACGTCATTTAGCTTAACATAAGGGGAACGAAACACCCAGAGATGTCAGACAATGTTTTGCATACCAATTTAATGTTGAGCAAGCAACAGTCACGGGTCTTGGCAGATCTTGCCCAGAGGGAGTATATCCTCCAGGGAATAATAGCAACGATTAGACATGATGTAGTGAGTGAGAATATGCTTTCCTCAAATGTAACTATTCACAAGTTAATTAGTCGCCCGATTCCAAGACATCGCATGGACATGATGTGTACCGGTAAAGTCGAATCCGCCACGACAATCTGCAAGTCCAGGCACAGTAGGTCCAAATGTATTGTCTCCGCAGATATGGGAGTAGCTCTCCAAGCGCGACATGATGCAGAGCGTGTGGCGCTGTGCTGTTGTATCCACTCAGCGGTCTACAGGTTAGCTGACAACCGCCAGTTGTAGTCCGGACCGGATGATGTTTTATTCCGGCACCTGCTCCAACAGTTGGCATTAATGGGTCGCAGGAGTTGAAGAGATGAACACAACACAATGTCGAAGCTCGCTGTGACGACGGTCAATTGCTGGCATCGATGCTGGCAGTTCCACATCCAAACACTTCCCGAAAAAATTGGCCGCGCTAAGCCGTCCGTTGCTTGCCAGAAAAATTTGTTATTTCGCCGGTTCGGAACAAGTCCAATAAGGAAGGTTACACATTAATTACTCGGAGCAAAGCCAGTGATAAGGAAGGTTCCACGCTGGTGGTATCCTGCATCCAGGGATCTGATCCTTTCGGTCTGGAGCTCCGAAAGGGTTAGCCGGTTCCACCATCTGTGGAGCGTTGCAGTAGATAGCTCGAGTCTAGTCTATAGGGTTTACTGCGATAAATGAGATATCAGGAGGTTTAGAATGTCACCGCAGTTGCGGTGGAAGTTCATTATAGCGCAGTTTGAATTTTCAAAACAGCTTCGGTAATAAGTGGCCTGATTTCTCAGATACGGGCAAGGGTGTGAGAGTTCACAGGGCGCCTAGGTACGGGGGTGGCTATGTTAAGTCTGTTTCTTGGGTGAACTCGGTTTGCGGTGAAGGAGGCAAAAACTTAGATTCAGACAGGTTTTGTCACGGAACCTCAATTTCCTTGTTCATACTCATCCCAACCACCGAAAGCTTCTCAATCCGATTGCCCTCCAGCATGTATCTGCAAGGAATGATGGGCGTTCCCAGTATCGTCCAGTTATGCATACCCATAGTTCTTGCGGTTGGCTTTGTTCTGCTGAGGCACTACCTCGCTAGTCGCAGACCCAAGGACTTTCCTCCAGGGCCCCCGACAGTACCCTTCCTGGGGAACCTCACCATGGTGCCTTCATCTAAGGCATTTCTCAAGTAGGCGACCGCCCTTCAGGATAGTTTATAGACCCGTAGTAACACGCAGATAGATTTCATGAGATGCAAGCCGATTATGGATCTATAATTGGCCTTAAAATTGGTTCACAGAACTTTGTCGTTTTGAACAGTTACAAGCATGTGAAAGCGTAAGTCAGCGCATTCCTCAGATTGTAATCATGTGCTGAACTATCACACAAGACTCTATGACGAGCGAGGCGCTATCTATTCCAGCCGAGCCAATGCCTTTCTTGCCAATGAGATTGTCTGTCCCAATGAGATACATATTCTTCTCATGCAGTACGGTAAAGAGTGGAGGAAGCAACGCAAGATTTTGCAGTCGCTGCTCAGTGTCTCCGTGGTAGATAAGCTACTCCCCCTCCAAGAAGCCGAGACTACACAAACCATGGTCCAGCTTCTCCAAGATCCTGAAGGTTACTACGACCATATCCGCCGATATACCACGGCAGTGATTCTTGCCTCGGTCTATGGCCAGCGCGGCTCCTCCTTTGACCACCCCAACGTCCAAGCCCTTTACCATGCTCAAGATCAGTTTACTGCCCTGCTAGAGCAAGGGGCCAGTCCCCCAGTAGATGCTTTCCCTTTCTTGCGAGCGATGCCCGAGTTCTCAGCGCCTTGGAAGACAAGGGCCAAGGCGGTGCGCAAGGAACAGAAGGGTTTATACCTTAGGCTTGTTCATGAAACTAGAGATCGATTGAACCGTGGTAAAGGCAGGGATTGCTTCTTAAAGACTATGTTGGATGACCAGGAAAAGAACGAAATGGACGATGAGCACATTGCTTATCTGGCTGGAAACTTGGTAAAGGAGTCCCGACCTATCATTTGAAGAGATACTTGGAGTATATTTATCTAACTCTCAACAGATGGAAGCTGGCTCTGACACTACCGCGTCAACCCTACTCTCTTTTCTTCTCGCAATGATCAAGTACCCAGTCGAATTTAAGAAGGCACAGAGGGAAGTTGATCAAGTATGTGGATCATCGAGATCTCCATCAGCAGAAGACATAGAACAACTTCCTTTCATCAAAGCCTGCATGTATGAGGTATGTCCAGACTATCCGCCCGGTTGTCTGTTCCCCCTTCTGACTCTGATGCGCAGACCCTCAGGTGGCGTCCAGTGGCGCCTGGTGGCGTCCCTCACGCTCTAACAAGAGACGACACCTACGAAGGGTACTTTCTGCCTAAAGATACTGTCGTCCTTGCTAACACTTGGGCGATCCACAATGATGAGGCCGAGTACGTAAGACCGCGCGAGTTTATGCCTGATCGTTTCATGAGCAATAAATACGGAACCCGGTATGCGGTTGACGAAAGTAGTGCCTCTCATCGCCGAATCCTGTATGCCTTTGGTGCAGGTAGACGGGTATGTCCCGGACAGAGATTGGCTAAGAACTCTATGGTATGTTGTGTTTGGCACAAATCGATAGTTCAAACTTGTATTGATATTTGTCCTCGTGCAGATGCTAAATATGGCCAAGATTGCCTGGGCCTTTGATCTTTCAGCTGGCTCTAACGACATTGATGACGATATCGATACCGCCTACCACGATGGGTTTCTGATTGCGCCCAAGAAGTTCCCTATCAAGATTACACCAAGGTCTCAGAGCCATAAGGAAATTATCATGCAGGAGTACCAAGCTATAGCATCATTTTGGGACAAGTATGACGATTAGCCTTGATGGATAGTAAGTTGTGTAACGTTGAGATAAGAGAGCTATTTTCTGTAAATTAATGGCTACCTATGTGTATACGCTAGAGTGACTGGAAACTACTCGCCATTGTGTCGATGTAAACTGTACTATTTGCAAAATGACCTTCATTCCCCCAAATAAATGACTATTCGCAAAGGCCTTCGTTGGTATGCCATCTGTCTTATATGTTGCGAACATGAACTTGATAGCCTACGCTCGTTCAAGAATTCGACATGCCTCCCACAGCTGTGCTGATGTCTCGTCAATCTTGAAAGTGTAGGTCAGCATTTTGGAAGGTGCAAAAATATGGAGAATCGCGGTGACGTACCTTATCTTCTAGAAATGGCTGGAAATGGTTTCCCGGAATAGGAAGAACCTCGACAGAACAACCAACTAAATATTCCCAGGCCACAATCGCGTCATCACGAGTCTCTTGTTGACTAAGCCAATTATAGCGAACTCCAAACAAAGCCTCGGTATCCAGGGTGCTCTGGCTTCGCAGCATGACTGTTTTCAAGGGTGTTCCAGCAACTGGGAAATACAGCTCGGGCTTATAATTTCCTAACAGTGACGCATTGGACAAAAACTCTTCTTGAAGGTTTCCCGAAATCTCAGACTGGCGACCGGACCCGATTATACTGGTAATGATAGCGGCTGGAAGTGGCTCGTGATCGATTGGACTTGGTGAGTCAATCAGTACAAGGCCTTTGACATTGACCCCGCGGATCGTGAGCTGCCGAGCTACCTCATAAGCCACGACGCCACCAAAAGACCAGCCTGTTACCATATTCGTTAGCCACAGTACCCCATTTGGTTCAAAGGTAAATATTAGTTCAAGACGTACCGCCGAGAATCAATGGTGAAGCTGGGTGCCTAGCATCCGAACAGATCATGGAGACATAATCCTTTGCCATGTCCACAACACTTGGGTAAAAAGAGCGCTCCTCGCCACAAGGCTCGAATTTAGGATCGAAGAAGGCATACGTGGTTCTATCGTGACCCTGAAGTCGCTTATACATGCCAACTTGGCCGCTGCCATCATGGAAGAGATATAATGGTGTTTGAAACCCTTCGGCAACATGAAGAGTGGCTGGCAGGGTCGGTGAGTCGGAAAACCCCTCGGCTGAGTGTGATGGTGTTGAGGAGACTGGAGTGATAACGCAGGTGGATTGAAAAGCCGATATTCCTGAACTGCTGGACTCATCAACACAAGCCTTGTACATCTTCTTGCTGGATGATTGGAGAACGGAAAAGAGCATGTTCTCCATCTCTTCAAGGGTTTCACATTCTGATAGGGCGTGGTGGCTGATCCCGGTCTGACCGGGGAATGCTCGTGAAATCTCGGAGGTGATCTCGATCTGCATCATGGAGTCGATCCCAAGATCACCAAGGGACATTTTGTAGTCGATATCCTGTTCAGTGAATCCACCAATTCTTACAACAATATTTTTAAACATTTTGCCCATATCAGTATCTGCTAGAACAGGACTGTCACTAGAACTGCCAGTGATAATACGGTCTTCGGTCTTGCCTCCTGCAATGGCCGACAGTGGGACTGCTAGACTCTGGTTTTTCCGACTATGTTCCTGTTCATCGGGCTTGGAGCTCGATGACATGCGACATAAAGCCTGTTGAAATGTGGACAACTGCAGCTTCTTAAACTCCATACCGCGAATTACTGCAATAACCCTGTCAGAGCTATCCAATGCTACCGAATCTGCAATAATGGCGCCTTTGACCTCGAGAAGATTGCAATAGATTTTGCATGTGTCTTTATAGTCCAGATTGTGGTAGGCAATCATGATCGACTCAACGCCAGAACAGATGCCAATCTCGTTTGAACCAATTGCGAGATTGGCAATAAACCCTGCTGCGTGTAGCAATGTGTCGGTAAAAACAGGATGGGCCAGGTAATGATCAAGCGTGTCATGAGATGATATCTTGAAGGAACCCATTCCTTCAAGGTTCGAATCAGCCACGTTCAGATACTGCAGACTGTGGTACTGTGGAGAATATCGCACGACCCGGGTGAATATATTCTCGTATAACAGCTTTGTCCGGAAAGTACTCATATGATCCTTTGCAGGACCAGAGAAAAACCGACTTTGCCTGGTCACCAAAGCATGGTCTTTGATCCACTGCCCAGCGATGGCATCTAGATTTTGGGTATCGACATAACCAGAGCAATGCAACGTCTCATTGGAGGTATTGGCCAAGCAAGAAGTGATCTTGAAGTTTGGTAGCGTGGATAGCTCACTGGCCTTGGAGATACGCACGCGCACTATCTTATCATGGCAATTTCCATGTACAGACAACGGTAAATGGATCAGCGGACTTGAGAAAGTCATGCCAGTTACGACCAGTACCTCATCCTTCTGAGGTTCCAGCAGAGAATGAGCCGCTTCAAGTGCAAGCTCGTGAAAGACGGATGCAGGACAGATTGGTGTACCGCCGACATCATGTCCAGAGATCAATGGCCCAAGTGTATCCATATCGGTCTCAAAAACAAGCTCGCCAGATGTAACGGCGTCTGTTCTCAGCCAAGATAATAGAGGATACTGGGTCCTAAGACGACGTCCGGTCCCGTGATCCGAACCCTCTGAGTTTTCCATGGCACCAGTGGGTTCATGAAAAGGGACGAAGAACTTTGAACCTTCCAGTGGGTATCCGGGCAAGCTTGTTACTTGCGCAGATGTACCAGCAAACACTTGTCGCCAATTGATTTCGATCTTGCGCAGAGAAATTGCGGACAAGGTAATACCGAGAGAGGTCCACGAGTCACGACCTTTTTGTAATGTGTTGAGCAAAGTGCAAGAACTGGAATTGATAAAATCCTTCAGCACTGGTAGGAGAGCTGGTTGCGGGCCGATTTCAACGAAGAGAGACTCGTCAAGGGAAGATTGACCAATGAGCCCCTCGAGACTCTTTACGCCTCCATGGAAGTGCACAGGATTTCTCGTATGGTTTGCAAAATAATCCGAGCCGTCCCTGGACTTGCAAAAGGCTTGCCCATCGACGTTGGAAATGACAGGAATCGTCGGGTCATGTAATTTGACGGTTCTGCCGAGCGCGCGCAAAGGCTCAACGATGGGATCGATGGCGGAAGTATGGAAAGCGAAAGGGACATTGATCAGCTTTGATCTAATGTTATGAGCTTTGCATCGTGCTTGTAGTTTGGCAAGTTGCGTAAGCGGACCGCCGATGACGCAGTCTTGGGGACCGTTGTGACATGCAATACTCAATTGATCCAGTGTTAAGTCTTCAGAAATGTAGGCTTGTGATTCTTCGCGTGTCATATGGCACGCAAGCATCCCTGTTGTGTTTGCAGGACAACGTTCGCCCATCATCTTTGCTCGTGTGGCGACGACGCGGAATGTGTCCTCTAGTGTCAAAGCACCGGCAACACAAAGAGCCGCGTACTCCCCTAAACTAAAGGTTAGATGTGGGTTAGTAACTATCTAGAAGCCAAGCACAAACATTAGACAGTTCGATTCCACATACCTATGGCCCATAAGATAATTAGGTTTGATACCCCAAGACATCAAGACCTTTGTGAGTGCATATTCGAGCGCGATGCACGCGCATTGCGATACCATAAGGTGCTCAACATCCGACAATGCGTTCATATAAGTTTCACCTTTCGAGCTTATGTAGTTGACTAGGCTGGGACACCCTAGATCGAGTTCCTGGACGATCTGGTCACACAAAATGATTATGTCCTTGAAGGGAGCATATGTACTCATGAGTTCCTTGCCCATGCCGCTGTAAAGCGCACCTTGGCCAGTGAAGACGAACACGATTGACGCAACAGGCCTGACAGGTTGGGATTCTGCAGCTCTGCACTCCCTCAACTTTTCGACCAGTTGAGATTTCGAGTTGCATGATAGCGAGATACGATGGCTGTATTGATGTCGACGAGCTGTAGCCGTGTAGCACATATCTGCCAGTGATGCCCGATGTTCACGTTTGACGAGGAAATCAATGCTTTTGGCCACAGAAGACTGGAGAGCTTTGTTTGATTTTGCCGTAACCGTGAAGACATAAGAAGAACGAGTGCCTGTAGCTTGTTGCTTGTGGTCCTGCTTGGCAGTTCCGACCCATTCCTCTAAGAGTAGCGATGCATTAGACCCAGCAGCCCCGAAGTTGTTGAGGATAGCACGTCTAGGCATCCCTTGCTGCTGTTTCCATATCATGTTGCGTCTAGGGATGACGAGACCGGAGCTCGCTAAGTCACCCAAGGCTGGATTAAGATTTTTAAGTCCAGCTTGCCTTGGGACCTCATTCTCGCGAAGCATAAGCAAAAGCTTGGCCAGTCCCGCAGCACCAGAGGCAGCCTCACAATGACCAATGTTTCCTTTGATCGAGGTCACAAGCAAAGGGCTTTTTGTTGAGTGGTGCTGACCAAAAACAAGTTTCAAGGTCTCGACTTCCCGAGCGTCTCCAGCTTGTGTGCCCGTTCCATGTGCTTCCACAACGCTGACAGATGAAGGTTCAACATTTGCTTGACTGAGCGTCCTTCTCAGTAAAGCAGTTTGTGTCAGGCTGTGGGGATGAGTGATGGAACTAGATTGGCCGCTCTGGTTGATTTGAGCGCTTTTGATAACTCCATGGATGCGATCACCTTCCGCAACAGCGTCTGAGAGTCGTTTGAGAACGAATAAAACACATCCTTCCGCGCGACAGTAGCCGTCGGCTGTTGTATCAAATGGCTTGCAGTTTCCTGTGGGACTTAGGAAGTGTCCACGAGATAGACCTAGATACATCTGTAAATTCCATGCGTGTTAGTGAGCGGTTCGATCATGGCTGCTGGGCTTTACTTACATCGGGGCTGGTAATTATGTTGACTCCGCCCGCAATAGCCGCTGTACAGTCCCCGCTCTGTATCGCTCGGCAAGCTTGGTAGATGGAGACTGCCGAGGATGAACATGCTGTGTCGGTTACGACAGAGGGCCCACTGAGTCGATAGAAATACGATATCCTGCCGCTGTGAAACGCTCTAAGAGTGCCAGATGGGTAGAATGTATCAATATCGTCACGCAGGTTGTCAGTATAGTCTCCCGTGGCCAGCCCGATGTAGCAGCCAGTGCTCGACCTCTGGAAAGATGGCGTTGCGTCTGCCACGTAGCCAGCATCTTCCAGTGCTTCTTGAGCGGTGTGTAGCAGAACTCTCTGTTGTGGATCCATGGACTTGGCTTCGCGTGGGGAGATATTGAAGAAGGCATTATCGAAACTATAAAACAGTTAGAGTCACAGATCATATCACACGGTGGAAACGAATGTACCTAAATGGGTCCTCTAGGAAGGCTCCGTACCTAGTGACCATGGACCGTGGCCGGTCTCTCTCATCTGTATAATAGTCGGAAACCTCAAATCTGCTTTTAGGAATCTCCTGTACACCATTGAGGCCTTGGGACAATGTCTCCCACAATTCATCGGTGCCTTGGCCTTTGGGAAGTTTTACGCTCATCCCAACAATAGCAATATCGTTCGGGCGGATTGAAGACTGCGATACGAAATCTTTATCTGCCTTAAAGAATGATACATCATGACATGAGATATGAGAATCCTGAGACTCAAACATGGGAAATAGAGACCGAGAACTGGGGCCAAAAGCAAGAACCCGGATGGGTCTAACAGGATCTTGTTGTAAAATACCCTCAATGTCTGTTGCGATTGCATAGCTGGTCTCAGGCCAATTCACACAGTGGATAAGAAGGTGTCGAGCCAGCCATACTGGTAGCTCGCCGGAAGACCCATTAATGGTATCGAAACGTGTACCGTCCGATGATGAATAAATCAACTTCATAGGTTTAGAGCACAGAGGGAAGTTGATATGTCGACGGACGATCTCTCTCTCGACAGATGAAACCACAGGTTCAAGTTGGTTTCCTCCGTGGTACCAGCCATGAACATAGGCAAAGGTTGTCACCACTCCATAAACATCTTGTAGATGTTCCTGCAGAGCGAGGAGATCTGCTTTGGGTCCTGAGATGGACACGGAGCCCGAAGTCAAAACAGCTGATATTTCCATTCGACAAAAACCGAGCCGGGAATGAACCTCCTGTATCTTGTTGTTTACCTGTTCTCTGGTAAGACCCCGGGTGACAAGCGACATAGTCGCCTCTAGATTGGCATGTTCCCCGATGCCGTTTGAGTGACTCCACATGTAGCTGTGATATGCGATCCAAAAGGCTAAACGAAACCCTTGGACTCCAGCTGCCACAAACTCGTCAAGGTCAGACGCGAGTGCAACAACCGCAGCTGCAATCATGCCTGATGAGAACCCAGCCGTCGCCTGCAGGGCATCAAACGAATTCCCAAAGACATCATTATCTTGTACGGTCTCAGCCAGATATCTCAAAATCTGACAAAGGTAGATAGTGGTTGCCTGTAGTACTGGGTGTTGATGATATGTTGCTACAGGCCTAAGCAGTTGGCCAGGTGTGGCGAAAGCTTTTGTCTCGATAGCAAGAATTCGCTGAGACTGGACATCCAAACTTGAGATTTCTTCCAGGAATACGGCATGGCATTTTGACAGGAGGATGCTGCCAACACCCACAGACTGAGCATCTTGTTCGGCCTTGTTGCCAGCACTGGGCGAAAATATGGAGTGAGATCCCTGCCCACCAAATAAGACAAAACGGTGTTGCATCATGGCGACAGTGGAGTAGCCGGAAGCAATTGGTCAAAAAACTTCGTTGTTTACTGCAGTACAGGTTAAGTGCTTGCAGTATGTGTTGTCTCGTGGTTTGTAATGGCTAGTACACAGGCAGTAGAATTAAAGGTAAACTCAATGCACGAAACTAACAGCGTGGGCTGCCCGTCTGCGTTGCTCAACCCCTCTCAGTCTCGAGAACTTTTCTTGATCCACCTAACGGCCAGTTTTGCTTGCGTCGGCGTCCCCAAGATGGGAAAGCGGACAAAGACAGGGTCCTGCTGGCGCCTCTACAGCCATGAACGGATGGCATTGATCCTAAGAACGGCCCAGGCCCTTAACGAACACACTGACCGATGGTTAGCTCATGTTGCATTTTTCACATGCATCGCCACCGAGGACCTGGTCCAGGGTCTGAATTAATGCAGGAGCTAATTATCTTTCCCCTGTGGTTGATGACCGTATCGCATTTCTAGATCAGTCGTCTAACGGCCGGGGCTCTGCTCATGGGTACATTCATGGATGCGAATCCTGTCGGAGACTAACTTTCTCCAAATTCATGGATACAGATCCTATCGGAGACCCCTTCTCCAACTTCATGGATATGAATCCTGTCGAAACTACCCTTCTCCACTTTCCTACCCTTGCCCTGCAAATGTGGATGGAGCTATGATGAACAGACACTTTTCGACCCAATCGCTAGGTCGTTTGGCAATGAAACGACCCTCTTATCTATTCCTCAGGAATTAGTGCAGGCTAGGTGAGAGTGGAGCCATGCAACCTCAGGGTTTATTTCCGTTCGGCGAATTCAGGGTCGGGCTAGTTCGTTATCTGGACCTCTAGACAAGGATGTCGGTCATAACAGGGCATATGCAGTTATCGAGAACTCATAGCGGTTCAGGAAAGATGAGGTGGTCTAGGTGTAGACGGGGCTAGGGGGGGCTTAACTATGGTCGACGTTTGTCCCAATTGAGTCAGAGGGTGTTTTCCGAATGCAGAACATTCTCACAAGTAGAAGTTGCCAATCGAACATTCCTCGCTTTGAGGCACCGCACTGTCCCACAATCCTCGTTGTCACCATTATCATACCAAACAAGATTCTTCCTTCCCGCAGTAGTTCAATTAAGACTTAGCTGTCAAGTACATACTCTACCAAATGTCGAAACAGGAGAATCGTATCGCCGTCGTTGGAATGGCTTGCCGCCTTCCTGGTGGGGTGGACAGCCCTGAAGGTCTATGGTCTCTTCTTGCAGAAGGCAGAGATGGGCGAAAAGAAGTACCTAAAGACAGGTGGGACTGGAAATCATTCTACAATGAGAATCCAGATACCAGAGACGCGACGAATTTCAGTCATGCCTACTTTCTCGACGGAGATGTTTCTGCGTTCGACGCTCGCTTTTTCAACATTCCTGGGACCGATGCAGCGTCTATGGATCCTCAGCAGAGGTTTTTGCTTGAAGTGACTTATGAAGCGCTTGAGAATGCTGGCTTGCCAATTGAAGAGTTGCGTGGATCTGATACATCTGTTCACATGGCCATGTTTGCTAGGGACTATGATCGCATGGGTTATAGAGATTTGTCGCAAGTGAGCATGACCCATATCATTGGAGCAGGAGAAGCCATTCTGGCCAACAGAATCTCCTACGTATTGGATTTGAAAGGAAGCTCCAATACTTTGGACACTGGATGCGTAGGTAGTGTCACACCTTTCCCTTCTGACAATTGCTGATTTACATGTAGTCTGGTGGTCTTGTGGCTCTGCACCAAGCGTGTCAAACGCTGAGAGCAGACGAGGCCACGATAGCTCTGGCGGGAGCAAGTCAGCTTTTACTCACTCCTGACCAATCTCTCGTCATGTCGTAAGTGAAATGTCTACCCAAGGCAAGCACAAGAATCTCACTGACCTTCATCTCTAGACAGCTTACCAACAAAGATGGGAGATCGTACACCTTTGATGATCGTGGCGCTGGTTATGCACGAGGTGAAGGTATGGGTGTGCTCGTGTTGAAACGCCTGGATCGAGCTGTAGCAGACGGTGATTACGTTCACGCAGTCCTGCTGGAGTCAGGCGTGGGCCATGACGGAAAGACATCTGGCATCTTCCTACCAAACAGTCACGCTCAAGAAGCTCTAGCTCGATCTGTCTACTCAAGAGCTGGCCTCGATCCCCTCGAGACATTATTTGTCGAGAGCCACGGAACAGGTACTGTCGCTGGTGATAACGCCGAGGTCGGGTCTATCGCTAGAGTATTTGGTCGCGAAGCAGGAAGAACCACAGATCTACCGGTTGGAAGTATCAAGACGAACATTGGACATTTGGAAGCTGCGAGTGGTGTTGCGAGCGCAATCAAGGCTATCATGGTTCTCAAGAAGAATCAAATCCCCCCGCAGCTCAACTTCGTCAATCCGAAGCCTGGCCTTGATCTCGAGAAGAAAGGTATCAAGGTACCTCTTGAACTCATGCCTCTCGCGCCAGAGAACCATACAGAACCTCGCAGAGTGTCTGTCAATAGTTTTGGATATGGTGGAACAAACGCCCACGTCATCCTCCAGGGTTACGATCTTGACTCTCAACCTCATCGTGACCAGAGCAGCGACATGAGGCCCATTGTTCTGTCGGCAAACTCGGAATCATCCCTGAAGAAATTGATCGACAATACACGACAGTGGCTACAGTCAGAGGGGAGCCAGTCAGTCTCCTTCGTCGATCTGGCCTACACCCTCAACAAACGCCGCTCAAAGCTGCCATGGCGCTGCAGTGTTGTTGCAAGCGACATACAAGGGCTTCAAGCAGCTCTCGGGGACGTTAGCCTCCAGCGAGTCAAGTCATCACGAGACGTTGGGCTGGCCTTTATCTTTACTGGTCAGGGTGCACAGTGGTTTGCTATGGGCCGCGAGTTGCTCACGAGTTCCCAGGCCATCGAGTTCTCTTCTTCTATTTCACACTGCAACAATGCTATGGAAGCATTAGGATGTGAATGGGATCTTATCGAGGAGCTTTCACGGGACGAGGAGTCATCACGACTGGGTGAGGCGAGATTTGCTCAGCCAGCCACCACGGCGGTGCAAATCGCCATGGTCGACCTCCTTGCTAATGCCTATGGCATTCAACCTGAAGCTGTCTGTGGTCACAGCTCGGGAGAAATTGCAGCTGCCTATGCCGCCGGAGCTTTGTCCAGGGAAGCGGCTATGCAAGTGTCTTACATGAGAGGTATTTGTTCTGCGAAGGCCAAGACCCTGAACTCAAGTCCTGGAGGCATGTTGGCTGTAGGGGAAGGACCTGATGCCATTGGCGAACGGATCAAGAAGATCGACAGCAGTTTTGGTAAGATCACTGTGGCCTGTGTCAACAGTCCCGAGAGCACCACCATTTCTGGAGATGTTGCAGCGCTTGAAGAACTCCAAGTTGCTTTGGTTGAGGCTTCAGTCTTTAATAGACGTATCAAAGTGGACTCGGCGTATCATTCTCATCACATGGAGGTGGTCGCCCCATCATATCTCACATCTCTTGATGCGTTGATAACCACTGAGACACGAGATGAAGTTGCATTCTTCTCTTCTGTTACTGGTGTCCGCAAGACGTCTGGATTTGGAGCAGATTATTGGGTGTCTAACCTGGTGTCCCAGGTCAAGTTCAGCACGGCTTCTCAACTCGTCGCGCAGCACTTATCCAATGTCCATTCCTCCGGAATCAACATGTTGATCGAAGTCGGCCCTCATGCCGCTCTATCTGGTCCTCTTAGACAGTCCTTGTCGGAGTCCAACTTCAAGTTGGCCTCGGGGGCTTCTTTCAAGTACAACTATTCCCCATGTCTTGTTCGAAGCACAAGTGCGCTCAAGTCTGTATCGACACTGGTTGGAAAGGCCTTCGATGCCGGTGTTTCCGTTCGAATGGATATTGGTAGTAACGACGTCCAGCCTCGAGTTGTCCCTGAGCTCCCCTCGTATCCCTGGGATCACAGCAACACTTACTGGCGCGAGTCAAGGCTGAGCAAAAATAACCGGATGCGTCCATTCCCACCACACGATCTACTTGGCCTGTTCGACCCGGCTAGCTCACCGTACGAGCCGCGATGGAGGTACCATGTTAGTCTTGCCAATACACCTTGGCTGCGTGATCACGTAATTGAGGGATTCATGATCTTCCCGGGTGCTGGATATCTCATTATGGTCATTGAGGCTATGAAGCAATTATTCCAGCTGCGCAACACGGCAGGTCGCATTACCAATGTCAATGTCCAGAACATGACCATCTCCAATCCTGTCATCATACACGATGACGACAATTCCAAGGAGAGTCAGGTAGTGGAACTTCAACTCATAATCAGCCCTTCTCGGCAGTATACGGGTAGTTCCTGGGAACACTTCCGTATCATCTCTTATGATTCCCAAAAGGGCTCTTGGGTTGACAACTGCAGCGGCCTTGTTTCATGGGACTCGGTTAACATCAAATCTGGAGCTACTGCTCAATCGCAGGCAGATGGCTTTGCGAGTGCCGAAGAAGATGGCGGCTTGGGTCATTTATCGAAAGGTGCAGCTCAAGCATGGCTACGAGACATCCAAGCTGCCTGTCACATTCCTCTGGATGCTTCAGAGACATATCTCGACCTGAAGACAGCTGGCAATGAGTACGGCGAGATATTTCAAGGCATGAAAGAGATTCATGTCGGTGACGGGTATGCTATGGCTAAGGTCGTCATCCCTGATATCACCCAGTTCGTGCCAGGGCACTCCATGCAGCCGCATACCATCCATCCTAGCGTCTTCGACTGTCTTTGCCAACTTGATGCTGTTTGTTTCCGAAGACAAGGGCTTATGGCACCTGTCATGCCCACCAACATGGGGCAGATCTCGGTTGCAGTCGACATGGACAGTTCACCTGGTACTGAAATCGTGGTAGCTCTGCAGCATTGGCAGCACACCCCACGAGACTCTACTTATGCATTCTATGCGTACCAGAGTATGACCGACGGTACTTGTCGTCCTGTTGTAACATGCAACAATGCTCGACTCAAGGCTGTGGGGGAGGGTGATGTGGATGATGAAGCCAACAACAAGATGACCTATCGCATAGATTGGAAACCTGATGTCGACTTTATGGCCCAAGATGACTTTGCGCCTCCCACGTCGAGCCCCATTTCGCGTGTCTATGGAGAAAATGACGGTACTCTTTCCGATAACCATGCGGCACGGATCGCGGCATACATGAGATCCCTTATCCACAAGAGTCCCAACATGGACGTGTTGATGGTCGGCAATGGACCCAGCGGTGCCACTATGTCGCTGATGGGGGCTATTGAGTCCCACAGCCGTTCGTCACTAGTTGCGTACACTTATACTGACGTTTTGCCCGAGCTGGTTGATCAGGCGCGCACGAAGTTCAAGGACTGGGTTGCCCCCATTGATTTCAAGACGCTCGACATTTCTCAGGACCCTGTCCACCAAGGACTCAGTGCCCATGGATACCATTTGATTGTGGCTTCTATGGTCTCTTTCACTTCAACTGGGAGAGGCACCGCTATTGAGCATATCAAGAAGCTCATGAGATCAGATGGCAGACTGGTACTCCTGGAACCGACTCACCCTGCGGCGTCTGAGAATGGACGCATCGATGAACTGCATATCAGCGTGTCTCAGTGGGATGCTTTCTTGAAGGACTGTGGCTTTAGTGGACTTGATCTTGCGTTCTCCGAAAATCACTCGTCCAATAACGCTAGGACTCTGATGGTGACTCGACTTCTCCCTTCAGCGATAAGCATAGCTGGCGGCCCTCAGCACGTAGCCAAGAAGGCGAAAGCGGAGGTCCTCCTTGGATATTCGGATGATGCCGACCAAGCTGCACTCGGCCAAGCCCTAACAACTGGCTTAAAGCAGAGAGGTATAGAGTGCACTATGGAGAAGTTGGAAGCTGCATCCGAACATTCACCTATCACGGTTGTCATCGATTCTGTCGAGCACCCACTTCTTCTGTCACCCAGCTCAGAAACCTTCCAGCAGGTCAAGCAACTCCTTCTTCGTGGCGGAAACGTTCTTTGGCTCAGCTTCCACGCCTCACAAGAATCTGGGAACGAGGCGGCACTGATGAAGATGGCAGGTGGTATGGCCCGCGTTCTACGACGTGAAAACCCCACTTTGCGATTGATCACAGTTGATGTTCAAGACCCGATACATTCTTCCATTAACGAGGGCCAGGCACAGAGTATCGTCGGGTTACTCGCAGATGTGACGATGTTGTCATTCTTGTCACCTGAGGGTACTGCATGCGCAGAGAATGAGTACTCCATTAGTAATGGCAAGCTCCTCATCCCACGAGTGTTGCCAGATGATCACCTGTCTATGCACATCAACAGTCGAATCAATCCCCGGAATAATACAAGCGGGGATGCATCCACAGTGCCCTGCTCATACATTAATAGGGACAGGCGTATCAAGTTTGACATCAGGGTTCCAGGTTTGCTAAAGACTATACGTTTTGTGGATAACGAGGAGATGCTGAACCCTCTCGGCCCGGATGAGGTTCAGATCGAGGCTCGAGCATACGGCGTCAACTTCAAGGACGTGCTTATAGCTTTGGGTCAGATGCCACCTGCAACCCAGATGACAGGTGAGATTGCCGGTGTCATCACCGCTGTGGGTTCCAACGTTTCGTCGCACAAGCCAGGCGACAGGGTAACAGCGCTCTTTGTGACTCCATTGGGTAACGAAGTTCGCGTCAACAGTAACAATGTGGTTGCCATCCCAGACTCTGTCAGCTTTACCGACGCAGCTTCTATTCCCCTCATCTTTGTTACCGCCTGGTACTGCCTTTACCATGTCGCGCGGCTCGAGACAGGCCAGAGCGTCCTGATTCACGCCGGATCTGGAGGTGTAGGACAGGCAGCAATCCAGCTCGCCCAGCTAATGGGAGCTGAGGTCTTTGTCACCGTTGGTAGTAGGACAAAGAAGAAGCTGATTAAGCAGAAATATGGCTTGGATGACAATTACATCTTCTCGTCGCGATCAAGCCACTTCAGAAAGCAGATCTTCGATGCAACTCAGGGCAGGGGCGTCGATGTTGTCTTGAACTCGCTGTCGGGCCAGCTCCTGAGAGACAGTTGGGATTGCCTCGCACCCTTTGGTACGTTTTGTGAGATCGGCAAGGCCGATATTATCGGTGGTGGTCAGCTCAACATGACCAAGTTCGACAAGCAGGCTACTTTTGCTGCAGTAGACATTTTCTATATGCATCAGCATCGTCCGGAACGTGTGGTTCGTGGCATCAAGGAGGTATTGTCCATGGTAGATCGGGGCATGCTCAAGCCTGTATACCCTGTCACCACCTTCGACATGTCATGCATCGAGCAAGCCTTCTCCCTGATGGCAGAGAGGAAGCATATGGGGAAGCTGGTGCTTCTTGCCAACGAGAACACTCTTGTACAAGCCACCCGACCTAAGGCTCCCGGTCTTCGCTTACAGCAAGAGGGGACTTATGTCATCGGTGGTGGACTCGGTGATATTGGCAAGAGGATTGGACGGCTTCTCGCTGAGAATGGCGCTGGTCACATAGTGGCTCTTACTCGCCGAGACACAGGCTCGGTAGCGCAGCAGCCTGCCATTGTTGCGTTTGAAAAGGTCATTAATGAACTGGGTGGCGCTCTCCATATCGTTCAGTGTGATATTGCCGATGAAACCAGCACCCGCAGCGCCGCAGATCAGTTAGCCAAGCTCAGTCTACCTCCCGTCAGAGGCATCATCCAAAGCGCTACGGTCCTCCGAGACCACCCTTGGGAGTACATGGAGGCTGATGACTGGAACGAGTCTGTCAAGCCCAAAGTTCAGGGTACAATCAATATGAATGACTACTTCTGCTCTCCTGAAGGCACAGATTTCTTTGTTATGCTGTCATCAGTGGCAAGCATCGTGGGCTCCGCCTCGCAAAGCAACTATGCCGCTGGAAATGCGTTCCTAGAGGCTTTTGCTCATTCTCAGACACAAGCTTCGCGAGGTATCACCAAGTACGTGGCGGTGAACGTAGGAGCTGTCGAGGGCTCCGAGTTGATCGCAGGTGTGCAGGATCAAGGAATCGACATCACCAACATGATTGGCTCTGTTTCATTCGATGAGGTTCTTGCGACCCTCGAATACGCCATGAACGTGGACGCTCGCGCGGATCCCACCGTTGTTCAACATCTCATGCACTTCAGCCGTGACAAGATGGAAGCTTCTTCTGGCCCATGGGCACTAAGCGATCCTCTGTATGACCATGTTCCCAGTAAGATGAGATTGGAGGCTAGATCATCCAGTAAGGGTGGCGATGGCAAGAAGCAGACCATCCTGCAGGCCGTTGAGGAAGCTGAGACAGTAGCTGAAGCCGAGGCCATTGTGAAGCAGGCGTTGCTAGATAAGTTCGAAGCTTTCCTTGGCGACGATGTTCCTGATATCGCTATCGCGGCGCTGGGACTTGACTCCCTGGTCTCGATTGAGCTGAAGAACTGGGTTAGACATACGTTCAAGACGCCTCTTCAGATCTCTGAGCTTACTGGCGCCCCAAGCATGATTGCTCTTGCAAGCCTGATCGTTTCGAGAATGATCCTCAAGTTCAACCGTACCAATGGCCCTGTTGTTGACCTTGACACCCATCACATTGGGCAACGTATCACTCATCCACTGGAAGCCTCACAACCAATTGTTTCTTCCGACTCTTCTGACGCCGTCCTGACTGACGACGCAACAGACGGAACGAGTACTGTGAGTGAGCCTGACTGGCATGGTCAGAACTGCTGCAAGGCTTACAAGGAATTGCCTGTCATGCCGTTGCCGAATCTTGATGAGACCCTTGACTACTGGCTTGATTCCAACCAACACCTCTTTGGGCCTGACCAGCTCGAGTCCATCCACCGAGATATGAAAACCATGCGAGCTCCCGACAGCCCTGCCCGTCAAATTATCAAAGACTTATACGAAAAACATGCAGACGACAGGACCAACGCTTGGTTTACCGATATTGTTACGAACGCCCGTTTCCTGTGTAGACGAGCACCTGTCGCTCCATGGACCAGCATCATGGTCTCTCAACGCGAAAACCCTGGCAAGAGACACTCTCAAGTTGAGCGGGCCGCCATTATTACCTCTGCTACTATCTCATTCAAGCGCGCTATCGATGCTGGTGAGGTTGATCCCATGGAAATTGCTGGTAAGCCTGAGTGTGCTTGGGGGTGGTCGTGGTTATTCAACACCACGCGTGTACCACAGACGGATTGCGATAAGGTCGTCAGCTATGCCTCGAGGTTGACTGCGCCAGACGCTCAAGACCACATCGCCGTTCTGAGAAAGGGTCGCGTCTTCAAGGTGATGCTCCAAGATGGGGATGGCAAGGATGTATCGTTCCAGCAGCTTCGGGCCACGTTCGAAGCCATCGTGGCGCAAGTGGAAGGCGAAGATGTATTGTCAACTCTGTTTACAACCGATGAAAGAGAGTCTTGGGCACAGGTAACGCTATTGATGTCTGGTATGGTAACAAAGCTAACACTTCCGCAGATCAGAGAAACCCTATCAAAATCGAGCCCTGGCAACGTAGACTATCTTCACGTTCTCGACTCGGCCATGTTTGCTCTTTGTCTTGACTCTGGCAGCCCTGAAACTCCCGAAGACATTGCGCGCCATGGTTACATCGGCGACGGTGTTAACCGTTGGTTCGATAAGGTTCTGCAGGTCTACGTCAGCGCGAATGGTCGCTCTGGTATGCTCACCGAGCATGGCATTCTTGATGGTACAACCATTACTCGCCTTCTCGATTGGATCTCCAACAGGATGGATACCTACACTCCTCAATCTGATGCTCAATTGGATGGCTCCCGATCCTTTCAGGTTGAATTAGAGCAAGTCGTCTTGCAAATGACCCCCGAGCTTGAAGCACATGCCAGTGCTCTTCACGAGAAGTACAAGCAGGCTACTTCCAAGTCAACTTATGTTCGCGAACAGCTGAGCGAGTTTGGCACCGATTTTCTGATTAGATCCCGTGTTCCTGTCAAAGGAGTCATTGACGTAACATTCCAACTTGCCATCCGCCTATTTTTCGGTAGAAACATGTTATCTTGGGAGCCTACCAGCGGCACTGTTTTCCACGCAGGCCGTCCCGATGCCATGCAACGTGCTACGCCCGCCGTCAACGCATTCTGCGACGCCGCTGCCAATCTAGCTGAGAACAAAGACACAGTTCGGCTTCGGGGTCTTTTATTAGAAGCCACCAAGTCGATCAATGCCGGCATGAAGTCTCAGCTCCTTGGTCGCGGGTCGCAACGACTCTTCGAAGTTCTTTCTTACTCGTGGCCTGCAAATGAGCCAAAGCCTTCTTTTCTGAGCGACATGGTCTTTTTCGGTCGCCCGAGCCCACCCATCTTTGCGCAGACGAACTCACTGGAGGGTAAGATGACGGTTGATGATTTTGTTCATCTGATGCAAGATACAGATGGGTTCTGGTCATTTATCAGTCCAGACAAGAATTCGTAAGTTCTTTCACTACTTTGCGGGGTGTCAGAGTGTTGTTTTACTAACCTTGTTTATAGACTGTCAGTGTCTCTTACCGGAGGGCACAAGGAACGAACGGCGACATTTGTCAAGGAACTTCATCGCGCAGCGAGCATTGTGAAGGATATTGTTACAACTGGTGCATGATCGTAAAATAGTGCAGACTTTCTTTTTACTATAATAATAACAACAGGCATTTTTCTATTAACATGCTGTCACATTTTCACTCCTCCTAGACGAGTTCACCTGTCAATCTAATCCATTAACCTCAATCTCTGCCACCTCGCCTTGCCAGCTCCTCAATACTCTGGGCAATCACACCCACGGGATCATACTGCGCTATCTCAGATTTTATCTCCAACGCTCTCTTTTTAAACTTGTCATTCTCGAGAATCTCGTCCACTGCGTGCGACAACTGCTCAACTGAAGGGTACGTTGTCCGAAGGTTTACCGCGACACCTGCCCATTCGGCTCTCGCCGCCGACTCAGGCTTCTCTTCCGTTGTGCCAGCCATGACAAGAGGTGTGCCATTGTTAAGTGCTCGCTGGAACGAGCCGTATCCTCCTGTCGTTACAAACACATCAGCGTGAGGAAGGATGTTGTCGTACGGGATAAAGCTTTCAACCCGGCAATTCGAAGGTATGGACACGTCATTGGGGAGAGAAACATCAGGCCGTCCGAGAGCAATTACCACATCTAGGTCTGAACGGGATTGCAAAGCTACCATAGTCGGGAGCACCAGCTGATTGAAGTCCATAGCGACTGTTCCTTGGCAAACAAACACAATCTTCTTGCGATTTGCGCTTTTGTCCAAGACAACCTTTTTCCACCACGAAGGTTCTTCCCAATCACGCTTCGTTCGTTGGGTGGCAGGATAGCCACCAGCAAATCTTAATGTGTCAGGGGCGTCACTCCGCTGATACTCAACACTGGGGGCACACATTTGGACGAATCGATCGGGTAATGAGTAAAGAGAGTCCAGCAAAAATGTATCATCCGGTGTGGCGCCAACACTCTTCAGTGCTTCCTTATACGCTGTTTGTGACGGAGCAAAGAACTGCTTCTGTACTTCGTTGGCAATTTTGTTTCGGCCCCGACCCTCTGGAGTTCGGTCAGGAAGCATGCCTGATCCGAACGGAGAATGGTCCATGCTAGTGAGTAAAACTGGGTTGAGGCCAATTGCTATAAAGCCATCGGGGCGAATACCTGGTGCTCCAAGTCTGGTTGCCAAAGCCCCGAAATTGAGACTCTCTGTCATGACAAAGATAGGTCTCTTGGCGTGTTCGTTTCGAAGCTCCTTGAGAGCTCTTTGAATGGCTTCGTGCTGCGAAGGCAGCGATTTGCAGAAGATATGGATTAGATCGTGGTTGAAACAAGCTGGTCCTTCAAGATGCTTTTCATCATCGGGCCCTAATATGAAAACATACGGATTAGTTCTATGACCCAAAAGTGATCTGTTGGAAAGTGATTTATACAGTCTGCATCGAGATCCCATGAAGTCAGGTCGTAAAAGTCGCCATAACCTTCAACTGGTACAAACGAAGCTCCAATAGCCTCTACTTGTGGACGATACCCGGAGCCAGAAACAAAGCAGACGTTGTAGCCACGGGCTATAAGTTGCTCTGCAATAGCAAGCATGGGAATGATATGCCCGGAGACAGGTGTGCTACATAAAAGCAGAACGGGCCTCTTTGTTAATACCATATTGATTTGAAAAAGAAGTACATGAGTAGAATGTAAGGAGAAGCTATCACGAAGCAGAGAGGACCGTGTAATTATAAGTTTAGTACGAGGAAACACAAATGCTATATCGCTATATCCCCTTGAAGACCAGCCAGCTTCTAGCTAGACCTAATTGGGGGTCATCTTATCTAGTCTCGCACTCTCGCCAGTCAATTTAACCGACCCTTATCCGAGCTTCACCTACTGTAGTGGGCACTTGCTAACAGAGAATGCTGGTCGCTGGTAAATTTGACACCAGAGGTGTATCTCAGTCTAGGCGCGAAAGGAGAAACCGAACTTGCTTGTAGTAGAAGTCACAGAGCTCGGCTTGAATTTATGTTTTTTTGGCTCAGGGGGTCAGACTGCCGTACTCGGGCTTATTTGCAACCCATCGGCAGGCAAATGAGGATCTGAATTTTGACGAGCCTGTGTGCAGATACTTCATTAACACTGGGGTTCATCATGGCCTAACAGTTTTAATATCAGCCTTGAACCTATATATGAAATCTACTCTCTTAATATATTATATTCTAAAATAGAACTCTATAGGAGAATAACATTTATCAGGCGATAAATTCGAAGGTTAATAATAGAAAGGCAGATAAAGAGAATCCTTTGAAGGGTCTAGGGTAAGTACTGTAACAAGCGTGGAAAGACGTGCAAATAACTTAACTCAGGGGTTTGGTAGACAACTGGGTGTCTAGTATATAAGTATGTACTGGAGATTTTAAATAAAATATGAACGCAGTATTATTTCCTTCGCTCATACTAACGTTGGGGGGTTACTCGGGGTTTGCTTGTAACACATCTGGTGACAAGATGCTTGGCAACGCCACGGACGAAGGGGACGATTTGCACACGCTCGCCTCAACGGCTCCAAATGACAAGAGCGCAAGGACGCCAATAACTTTTGCGGACACCATAGTCACGGGCAGCTGAACTGAACGAGTGACATGAGATACACAAAACAAACGGCGACACTATTAACTTCTATAATGTGCCGTCTTATTTTACAGCTCAATTGCAGGGCACAAGACCTGAGGTCTACGTGCTTACAGGGCCCGAACTGGCTGCCTAGCTTTCATCTCGCTTGCTATACTCAGCTGAAGGATAACGAATATTTTGTCCAATGTATTGGCTTGGCAAGGTACTACAGCCAATGGTTCAGTTCAAATTTATAGTCAATGCGTCCGCTATTGCCGACAATGGGCTGGCAAGCCTGCCGTCAATCAAGCGTCAGTCATTCAGCAATTCAAGAAAAATGCATGGGTAGGATCTGCAAACGTTTGCACTGTGTTGCGAGGACACAGACGCGGTGTGGCGTTAGTTTCGCCTGATGTGTGGCTGAACAGCCACATCTGACATGGTCGACGCGGAATAGCGATTCGCCGAGCCCGGTCTTCTCCACTTTTGCAATAATTCACGCTTTGCCTTTCATCATCAATCACGCGTACGAACTCCTCATCCAACCTCTTCGCAATGTCGCAGAACCATCCTCAATCTCATCCATCTACGCATCTTCTCTCCCCGACCCGACCGAACTCAACAATGCTCCCCAAGGGAAACCGATGCATCGCGCTACAGCCGTTATAAAATTCCGGATTATACCCGCCGAGAGCGAGCGCATCCTCTGCCTCCTTTCTGTGGAATAACCGGGGCGTGTAGCAGGGACATCTGAACTCGGAATCTCGCAGTTCTACTGGAGGTTCCGAGGCTTGACCTGGCAGTTCTACTGGAGGTCACAGGTACCCGCCAGCGAAGCCCGGTATCTCTCTTGTGGTCGCGTTGCGACGTTTGGGTTAGACGTGCAGGTGAGTCCCAATTTCGTGTACTAATTATCGGATGTAGCACGTGATATGGCGACTTCAACTTCGAAATGCATCGACATTCATCAAACAACAGCTGTCCTTGAATGGCAGTGGGAAGGTACCACGCGTACCTTGACGACGGCAGATCCCGATCACGACGCGATACAATTTACGTTGCAACTCGATTCCAATAACGACGACCAATCCCATGCGCATTTTGAGATCAGCATCCCTGTTAGATTCAAGGACAAACCCGCTGGTGCAGGAGTTTGCCTTCGCATCAGCCCTTTCTTCATCAAATCATGTACACATTCCACGTTACCCAACCCTTCCGATACCGTCAAGCAGGTGTTCGCATCGACCACATACCTTGACTTCGAATTGAGTAATACAATCACTGTTCTCATTCCCAATGATGTGCAAGAGCCAATTATAGCAGCTCGGGCGCGCTCGGGCAAGATCCTCGACTCATTATTTGAGTTGTCCCGTGTTACGTCTCTACGTGTTTACATGCAAGAGTCGGTACTATCGACCGATTACCTCGAATCCATCACCAAAACTGTGGAACAAGATCAAATTAAGCCTTCCTCGAATCCAGACCATGACATCTCACGCATGTTCAGTGGCAACGGAGGGAAAGTTGCAACCATCACTCCACCCAAACCCCCATCCTACGAGAAAGCAACTCAGCTCCCACCCAACACCAACGCTCCACCTAGTCGTAAACGGCCCCGACAAGACAGCCGACCCGACATCTTCACCCAATTCTGGGATAAGCTGAACAAACTTGAGTGTAAGGTTGGAGAGCTGCAAGCCGACAATGCCCAGCTGCGAGTTGAGAACACCCAGCTTAAAGACAAGGTTGCGCGGTTGGAGAAGAGGTGCGATGGGCTGGAAGGGTCGGTGCCACAAGCCACTGGGAATGACACAGAGGAGGCTGTGATGATAGAGATACGAGACGACATTGACTCCTTGGATGGGAGAGTGACTTGTCTCGAGACTGGGAGAGATGAAGAGTTCAGCGAGCAAATAAAGGAAGAGATTTTTGACGAGCTAGCAAAGCGTCTTCTAGGTGGATGAATAAATAAATTATATTACGTATATGTATGATGATGATTGTAACAGCTGTGCCAGCTGTCGTTGCGGGAATGATAAACCGTCCCATTCGCTAAAGTACACTACTGTTACTATATGAATCAGTAATAAACTCATGGTAGATGCCGGCAGCAAGCCTCGGTCCGTCTTTGTCGCTCTAGATACTAGCTAAAAGCTCGTCCTCCGTCTCCTCATCACTAAAATACCACTCTGCACTAGGCCCCGAACCACATTTACCATTAAACTAAAGCCCATCCCCAAGCCTAGCCTTACATTCAACACCCATTTTTTCAAGAAGTCTCATGAAACGACCCCCAGGGACATCTCCAATCGGCTTACCGCGCTTCTCTGATCCAACAACAATTCTCTTCAGGTAAACACGCTGCAATACGGAAAATCCTTTCCTTATCACAACCCTTTCAAGCATGTCAATTAGCCTTTCGCTACCCAAACCGTCCTGGTCTCTTCGGAAGAATCCATCTGCATCATTGACAGCTTCATCACCATGCTCTATCCCAATTCGTTGCTCTACGACCAGTGTTTCGAGCGTTGCGCATGACGCTTCAAGAATCTTCTCCCAATCTTTATGGGCGGCTACCTCTGCAGTTGTTGACCAGAAATAATCGACCATTCTCATGGAAAGGTTACTCTGCGATGGCTGACAGAGTTGCAAATGTCGTAGTCGAGGGAGCATCAGTGACGTTCCATCTTTTAGACAAGGCAGAAAGCTAGACAAGGGCTGGGTGATAGCGGCCCATCCAGTAAGTCTGCCGTACGTGGGGTATTCGGGTGGGCTGTATAGATCCCCAGGCAACCGAGGAAAATCATCCTCAATTGTTTCCCTTGAACTTATTGGTCTGTCAAGCAATGCAAGCTCCAGCCACTCGACGTTCGAGCAAGAGGACAGGATCCATGCTACAATAGGCCTTGGTATAGTACCATCAAGCTTGACATAATGCAGCTTTGTGAGTGGAGCGGCAGATGGATCGAAGGGTTTATGCGCCTCCTGGCATCGGTACGATAAGTCGCCATATAATTCAAGAGTCTTGATGTTGATGAAATATGGTAGGAATCGCCAAAAGTCCATGTCTAGTTCAACAGCTGTGCAGATAGACTTTATACGCGCACAAAGCTGCATTAGGCGTTCGACATTCTCGGCCAGTAAATCCTGTAACATTTTAAAGAAGTCTTCAGCCTTGTATGCCCCCGAGTATTCAAATTTGGGCTCTCCACAGTAGAATCGTTGTGGTGTAGATGTCTTGGGTAAGGGATGCCTGGAGTCTGATAGCTCGTGAAAGCTCTGATGGTGAAAGTCGATATTGGTCCATAGTTGGGGTTCTGCAAGCCTATTGAGTCGTTTGCAGGTTCGAGACAGTTGGACAAGTTCATGCGCTGTGGCATGGGCGACAATAAAGCTGAGTATCTCATCAGGCAAAAGGTCCATGGTAAGAGACGCGATATAGGCTAGAACCTCAACCTAGCGAGAGATCTGAGAGGAAAGTGTGCTATATCTAACATTTAGGTATGGGTTATTAACCTGGCTCCTGGCGGTTACAGCAAGCCAAAGCTTCGGCGGCGAATGACTCAGGCCGGGCGCTGTTATACAGAATGGATTGACGGAGCTAAAGCCCCGCAATCAAACCGAGGCGCCAAACTATTTTCACGCTGTCTCTCAGTACAAGGAACTGCTTTAAGTACTAGAGGAGGTTTCAATCATAGAAAGCCTAGCTCGCGTAGACTCTAGTTAGAAGCACAAGTAAGTCTGCATGGATTGTAGCTTTCTTCAAGGGATAGTATTTATTGTAACTGCGTAATTGTCATAGTAAAGAAGAAGTAAATAAGTAAAAAACATGCTATTGTAATGACCGAGTTGCCCAAGCAGTGTGATAAACAGGAACTTAGATACAAAAATGAAGGTGAGAATTACAAGTGGTACTCATTCTAAAACAAACAGTGCTGTATGCTTGAACATCAAGCGCTACACCCATTGCCTTATTTAGCGGACTGAGGAGAGGACTTCATAGAAGCAGCAGCCGTCGGCATAGATGCGGGCATCTTGTCAGTCTGCTGTTCTCCAGACGGGGGCTTTTGAGCAGACGATTGCATCTGCATAGATGTTGGCATGGCATTGGATGTAGGCATCTGCATGGAGGTGTCCATAGACATAGGTCCAGTTGGCATGGAATTTGTCATAGAAGTATCCATAGACATGGGAACGGTAGGCATAGACTTCGTCATCCCAGTAGAGGTATCCATGGGAACGGATGTCTCGGTAGACTTAGTCATCCATGTTTCAGCCTCTGTAGGCTTAGTCGTGTAGGTAGTAGACCAAGTCTTGGTCGTAGAAACATAAACACTGCTTGTCCCGGTGCTGGGAGGAATGATCTCCTTGGTGTAGGTAGTCTCGGGAATGACAGTTGTGTAGGTGAGTGTATAACAGGTTGTAGCTGTTGCATAGACAGTAGAAGTCTTGTGACCGATGTAGCAGTCATCAACCCCGTAAGGGCAAGCAGTAATAGTGTAGTACTGTGTAGTGTAAAGAGTGGAAGTCGAAGTCGAAGTAACACATACCGGGGAAGGCGGAGGAGGAGGAGGAGGAGCAGGATGGTACGTAGGGCAAGGGACATATTCCGTCTTGACTTCAGGGCAGAGGGTAGTCGACAGAGCCCAGACCTCGGTGGTGACGTAAGGCTTGCAATAGGTTTCAGGGCACCAGTGATCATCACACCAACTATCATGCTTAGCACAGCCATCCATGGTCTTGACCTCGGTTGTGTAGACAGTTGAAGTGGAATAGTCAGTGACGACCTTCTCACTGACACATTCGTAATAATGAGGATGTTCTGCTGGTGGTTGAGTAGGAGCGGGAGCCTCCTCCTCGACAGGGCAGACTGTGGTATAGATAGCATAGCTCTCAGTAGTGACGTAGGGAGTTTCTGGGCAGTAGGGCTCGCACTCTGTAATAGTGCGGTAGTAGGTAGTGTAAACAGTTGAGGTAGTCCATTGAACGGGAGGAGGGGGGTAGTATGTGATGGGGCAAACAGTGGTATAGGCAACGATAGTCTCGGTTGTCACATAAGGAGGGTGACGACAATGTTCATCGTAGCATTCAGTGATTGTGTATACCTTGGTGGTATAGACAGTTGAGGTAGTGTACTCAGTGGTCAGTGGCATCCCGTGCGTGGTTGTAGGGAGCGTGGCAGACTTTGTGATAGTGGTAGTCTTAGTGGGCTGTCCCATGGTGGTAGGTCTGGTGGTAGGTCTAGTAGTGGGCCTGGTAGTGGGCCTGGTAGTCAAGGGCTGCGTTACTGTTGTGGTTTCTGTGGTAGGCCTGGTGGTGGGCTTGGTGCTAGTCTCGGTAGTAGGCTTGGTTGTCGAGGGCTGCGTTACAGTTGTAGTCTCAGTGGTAGTAGGCTTAGTGGTTGAGGGCTGAGTTACAGTAGTGGTCTCAGTTGTAGTAGTAGGCTTGGTAGTCGTAGGCTGTGTAACAGTTGTAGTCTCGGTAGTAGTGGTAGGTTTGGTAGTTGTAGGCTGTGTGACAGTTGTAGTCTCAGTTGTAGTTGGCTTTGTGGTAGTTGGCCTTGTGGTTGTAGTGGTGGTCTTTGTGGTCGTTGGCGGCATAGAAGGACCAGTCGTTGTGGTAGTTGTAGTCCAGGTTGTAGGAGGACGAACAGGGCCAGTTGTTGTGGTAGTTGTAGTCCAGGTCGTGGGAGGACGGATAGGACCAGTTGTTGTGGTTGTTGTAGTCCAGGTTGTGGGAGGACGGATAGGACCAGTTGTTGTGGTAGTGGTAGTCCAGGTTGTAGGAGGACGAACAGGGCCAGTTGTTGTGGTAGTTGTAGTCCAGGTCGTGGGAGGACGGATAGGACCAGTTGTTGTAGTAGTGGTCCAAGTAGTCTTTGGCGGAGGGATCACTGGCCCCGTTGTAGTGGTGCATGTAGTGGTTGGGAGAGGAGCGTAAGGGTAAGTCGTAGTAGTGGTTTGTTTCCAGAGCTGCTTCGGAGCCTGAAAACGAGCTGGAGAAGTGCTTTGGGCAACATCTGACTGTTGGTCAGGCTCGGAGTCCTGAGTAGAGGCAGCAGCTGGAACGGTGTTTTGGTTGACATCATTCTTAGCAGCCCGAGTGGCAGGAGCCTGAGGGGCAGAGGAAGCGACATCATCTTGGTTCGAGTTTCCTGATGCATCATCTTGCGATTGAGAGGAGTCAGGGGTCGCCTGGGCGGCAGCGGCGCCATTCTGACCTTGCTTTTGCTTCCCTTGCCTGCCATTACCGGAGCCATCATTCTCAGGCTCGGTAGTATCAGAGTTTGACTGAGCAGCAGCACTCTGAGCAGCATTACTGTTGTTGGTGTTGGAAGCATCATCACCCGAATCGGAGTCGCCTGACTGGGATTGGGCAGAAGTACCCTGAGTATTATCGCTGTCATCATTGATAGAGGCATCGTCTCCTGATTTGGAGGAACCAGACTGGCGCTGAGCAGCGGCAGGGCTCTGGCCATTGTTCTTGTTGGAGCTGCCCGAAGTATTGCCTTGCGTAGCGGAATCATCAGACTGCGACTGACCACCCTGAGCATTGTTGTTGTTGCTGTTGCCTGAGGTATCATCCTCCGAGCCGGAATCATCAGATTGGGGTTGAGCAGCAGCAGCACTCTGACCGTTGTTCTGGTTGCCGTTGCCTGAACCACCGCTCTGTGAGCCAGAATCATCAGATTGAGACTGAGACTGAGACTGAGACTGAGACTGAGATTGGGCGTTGTTCTGGTTGCTATTGCCTGAACCACTACCCTGTGATCTAGAACCTCCAGATTGGGCTTGAGAAGAACCACCACTCTGTCCGTTGTTCTTGCTTGAATCATCATCGTCAGTAGTGGAAGTGTCCGAGGTGGGCTGGGACGCGGTATCCTGAGCGTTATCTTGCTGGCTCTGGTCACCCTTTCCCCGTTTCATGACTGGTTCTGCAGCCCGATTAGCGAAAGCATGGGCCTCTTGAAAGGATGGCCCCGAGTAAGCTCGAGGTAAGTTACGATTATCTCGAGGTTCGAGTCGGCTAAAGCCTAAGACGCTGGCGTTAGCCGCGCCAAAGGCAGCGACAGTGAGGAAGAAGAAGCCTCTCATGTTTCAAGTATTCAACAAATACTATAACGAACGAATCTGGGGATGAAAGAACAAGTGTCCATAAGCAACCCGAGATGCGGGCATTCTTTATATCAGAACTGACAATATCGATATGAGCTCTTCCGCTCTCCCCGTCCCCTCCTACACAGCTACACACACACTTTCTTGTACACGAAGACTCACATGCATGCCCAAGTGAGTCCATTGGTTGGCCAAAATCAGGAAGAGGCTATCGAATACGGGCAATATGCATGCAATACAGTATCATGAGGTCATCAGACATACCTCAACTGGACTGATAGGACGGACCGAGAGTGTCAGCTACTTGGACAGTCTTGACAGCGTGCAAGGACTTGTATGGCAGATCTAGAGGCTACGTACCTGTTGCTCTGTACCCGCAACGGGTATTTCCAACGGTTTGACCGTTGGAGGAACATTACCGGGTCGATCATAGGAACGGAAATGGAAGAAGAAGGTGGTCTCGTGTGGTCGGTTGGTCGGCAATCTAGACTGTTGGTCCTGGTTTAGTCAACAAACGGTCTCATACGAGCTGCAGGAGAGACGTGTGTGGTGATGAAGCGGCTTGTTAGTTCTGCATTGGAGGTTCCAAACATAAGATCGTGTCTTGGAATAAGCAGGCAAACAGAAGGTGGACATAGGCTTCGTGTTCAAGATGGAGTTGCGTTGCAATAGCGTCTTAAGGAGGATGGCACAATCTTGGACTAGCCGCTGGGCGGCATTAAGCACATGGTGGTAGACGCGTGCTCTCGGTAGGCTACCAACCCCAACCGCTTCCCCAATAATCAGGCTCTGTACTCAATTGGCGTGCAGAAGGCTTCGCTCAGTATGAGACAGCATAATCCATTCCAACCATTCTGGATCAGATCAGTAATTGCCAAGCACTTTCGTCGCCATAGAGCTAACAGGGCAAACAACCCAACGATGTGATTAACGGACAATGGCAGATTCTGTTGATTCCCTGCGTTAGTTTCCCATAATAGTGATATGAGGTGCATCGAGGATGACAACGGGTTTTGTGGTGTCTTACTTTGCGTTTGTTGCCGGGTTTGCCGTTTCCTCACAACCAACGAGATCACTGCCCTGTTTTTCGCCTCAAAAGTAATTTTCTGGATCGGCATTTTGAAACCGAGTGTGCCAGTCCCAAGAGCCCGGTACGCGGCCTCAAGGCTTAGTTTTTACTGTTTCGTATTCAGAGCTTCATCACAATGGACAATTGAGTTAAGAATGAGGACCAAGTTTGCTCTCGGGGAACTCTTGGTTTGGGCACTTGCCGTATTGGGTCATTGCGGATCCCAAAGAGATCGGGGCTAACTGATATTACCAATGATAACATCTCGGTGATGTCACTACCTAACCTATTCTATCAGGAGGGTCATCTGTAAGTGAGCAAGCATGTCTATACTAACTGTATCTGATTAGTGTAACTCCGAATTGCTGACGTATTCACGAGCCCCTCAATTGCCCCACGACCTGCGATAAAGATTTATCTCGGACCTGTCTAATAAATCAGTGATCACGATCACTTCTCATCGGCGCTGGAAGATGCCGAGCAATCAAATCACCAGACAGAATCCTGAGCAAGAATGTTACCGTCTGACAAGACCCAGAAAATGCTAAACTCCCGGCTTGCCGACACATTGGTGGGTGCCCTTCCAGATTTTCCACGAGCTTGCGAGATCGGCTATCAAGCATCAATATTCCGGAGGGCATTAATCAATGAGCAAGTAACCGTTCCGTCGTACGGCAAGCTGTTATTACTTGAAGCTTAAGAAGAGGGAACAAGCATTCTAAAATTCCCGGGAGTTTATCTCCAATGGCTTTGGCTCGGACCTCTTGGAGGAATATACATCTTGTCACCATCGTACGTTAATTACAATGCAAGTAAAATTTCCATGCATAAAAGACGCTGTTATCTCGCAATGTAACTTACTGCATTTTGAATGGACTTGGCAGTGTCAACAGACCGTGGCTTGATCCAATGTTTGCTGCCACAGGCAATTGAGTTTGGAAGTGACCGAATTGTTACAATTGCGTACATTGTGGCTGAACACTTTCTAAAGTTCTACTTTTCCAGCGTCTCTCCTTCTTCTATTAGTAATCCACTATACCACGTTGTATGCCAACCTTAAATTATCAACGCCTTGAAAATAGCTGTGATCCGAGAATGAGATCCTGCGATGCCAAGAAATAAGAAAAGCCTGCCTTCTTCGCCCTTCCAAACCATTCTAAGATGCGGATACAGGGGAGTTTGCCCAAAGCACTGTCTGACTCCACCACGGCAGCGAACGATTCAACATAAGCTCGCTGGTGTGCTTTGTGTTCCAAGATGCAAATTCCTCCTCCAGTCTAAGAATTGAGTGCAGTCTCGTGAATAGCCTCAACGACCTCATTGATGGGCATGACATCCACGAAGTCGCCCACCCCGTCAAAAGACGGCCGACATCCGAGCAATTTGGCAATTTGTATAAGCTCGTTGAGAATTGAAATGTCTTCCTCCTCTGATTGCTGCACTGACTCGCACGCCACAGGACGGTGGCTGAAAACGGGAAGGTTGATTGAGTCAGCAGCTTGTTTCAGGAAAGCCTCTGACGCCCATCTGGTAGTATCTGTCCCAAAAGGATCGATTAGCAACGCAGTGAATTACAACGTCCACTTCTTTTGCAAGCTGAGAATATGTTAAATCCGATACACGGAGCTTGTGTTGGGCGAGATCACTTTGGAGGACCTTGACATTGCTACTAGGATCATCTACCACCTCGCGATCGTTCAAATTCCGGCACAGACAGTGGACTTGCGCCACACGATGATCTTTAAGCAAGCTGAAGAGGAGGTGGCGTCCAAGGTAGCCCGACGACCCGGTCAGCAGAACATTAATAGCGGTGCTTTTGCCAGCGGCACGGAGTGGTGTTGTGAGCTGAAGATCTTTAGCGAACTTCCTTTCTTCATCCCAGTGGATGAAATTGACAGGGCCGCAGTCCTCAAGAACCCCTGCCATGGCACCGAGAGTGCTTGAACCCATGAGTGTCACGAGCTTGGGTGCTGTCCACCAGACCTGTCTTAGGAAGGCTTGAAGCTTCACTAGAAGAATTGAGTTGCCTATCCTAGCTGCATAGCAGATACAGCTCACTATCCAATGGCTTTCTTATAGTTAAGAAAAAGATACTAATAAATCAATAACCTGTATCTATTACACCCTAATAGATATAGGTTACCTATAGATTTCTATTAATAAAATATATTACAAGTAGATATATTAATTTATTATATTAAAGTAAGTTTAACTAGGGTATAGAGTAACTAAGTAAATAGCTAGAAAAATAACTATTTATTTAAATTATAAGAAATTAAAAGAAACCTAGCTAGGATATTACTATTTATTAAATTACCTAAGTTTCTATTTATAATTTATATAATATACTATTATATATATATTACTAAGGAGGTTAAGCTATATTTAAAAAAGTACTATAAGGGTATTAAAGTAGCTACTAAAAGAAATATAGTATAGTAAGTAAAAAATATACTTAGTATAATTAAAGACTAGAGAGAGTTATTAATATAGCAGAAGCTACTACTAATAATTAACCTAATCCTATATATCTATTTACCTATTACTAATAAGTTAGCTTATAATAAAAAAGGGTATTTATTTATAATTAGTATTTTATAAGGTATATAAAAGTATTATTATAAGGAATATAAATAAAGTAATTTACAAAGGAAAGGTAAAAGTAAGTAGATATAGTAAATATAGGCCTAGTAAATCCTATAGTATATAGCTATTTAAAGCTAGTAGTTATTTAGTAATAGATTAGGTAATAGTTAGTTTAAGGTTAGGTTTAAGGTACTAGCTACCTAGATATCTAATAAAGCTACTATAATAAAGTAAGTAATATATACTATAAAGTAAAAGTAAAAGTAGTTTAAATAAGAGGATAAAGAGTATATTAAAACTATTAATATAAAGGCTAATACTAATATATAGTTAAAGTATATAAAATAAGCTAAATATTTATAAGAACTAGATTTAAAAGCTATAAGATAGTTAATAAACCTAGTTAGTAAGAAAGAGTATATTTTATAGCTAATATAAAATAATATTATATAGGTTATATTATAGGTATAAATAATAGCTATACTTAGTATAATTAGTACTTAGGTATTATTTAAAGTATAATATAAAGAAGTTAATAAGAAGCTATAGTAGCTATTTAATAATTAAGTTAAAGAAAATATATAAGCTTAGTATATAAAGGTATAGTCTAAGTTAATATATTATATTTACTATATAAAGGGAATACTTAATAGTAAAAGGCTTAGTTTTAAATTAATAAAGTAGTAAAATAACTAAATAGATATATTAAAGCTTATAATTAAGAATTATATTAATAATTCTAAGGTTAACTTATTAAATAAAGATAAGGTAAATAAGTTAATATTATAGTTAGTTATTATATTATTAAACTATAAGTTAATAGTAAGTAAGTATTATAGTACTATTATTAATAGGTTAGCTATATTAGGAATTAGGAAAGATAGGGGTTTAATAGATATAATAGATTATATACCTATATATTTAACTGTAATTAAGGTAGCCTAGGCTATAGTTATATATTAATTGTATTAAAATAGAAAGGGTAAGATAGCCTAGTTATAATAGGAAAAGGGTTTAAATAAAAAAGAGGTAAAGGAGAAAGTACTTAGTATATTCTATATTATATATAATAAGGTATAAAGGTTTATAATAGTAATATCTAAAGAGATATATACTAAACTAATACTAATAAATTAAATTTATAAGATATATATATATAGTATATTTATTTAGTTTAATATACTAATAGGTAGGACTATAGATTAGGATAGTAATTATATTAAGTATAAAAAGATATAGTTCTAAATAGCTATATTAACTAAAATACTATATATATTAATAAGAAAGGTAAGGAAGTATTTAGCTATATTAATAATAGTTAATA